ATTTTAAAATTCAAAATAAGGAAACGGAAATTGAAAGTCCGTTTTTTAAATTATAGTTAGAAAAACGGAAAATTAGTTTCCGGCAAATGTTTTCATGACCACAAAAAAAAATTAAAATATAAATTTCTGCCGTTTTTTTTTTGGGTCTATTTAGGTAAATGGGCCTTCTCCGAGTGAATGACCTAATACTGCATTTAATAATCTGGACGATTGGAAATTTTTAAAAAGGTGTTTCTTTGACATAACTGCTTACGAAATAGTAGTACTTGTAAGATGCTAGTCTTTTCATGGCATTTTGGTTGATTGAATCATTGATGTCTACAGCTCCTGCTTGCTCTCCAATCTTGGCTTCATTTGGACTAGAGTTTTGAAAATTTGTTCAGACTAGTATGTTTGAAACAAAAATTGAAAAAATAATTTTTTGAAAATAATACATTTGAACGGGAATTTTTCAAAATCCTTTTACAAGTTAAAAATAGGAAAATAACATTTGGATTAGGTCTTTTTCAAAAGTACTTTTTGTTAAAAAAAAATAATTAACTTTTTTTTAAAAAAAATAAAATTATTCTTTCACAAATTTTTTATTTCATTTTTTCACTTTTCTTTTCTAATTTTTTTTTATAATTCACAATTATCTTGTTCTAAATTTTCTTTAACACACCTTACCTTTCCAACATAAATCAAAACTAGAGTATAGATTTAAAAACATTCTAACTAAATTAAATGCATAATATTTATACCATTCTAACTTATTAAATACATAATAAGTTATGATAAATAAATACTAATAGATAATTTTTTAATTAATTTCTAATTTTTATTATTACAATAATTGTATTCGTGCTAGCAGTAAATTTATTACATTTATGACATCATTAAAAAGAAAATAAATGTGATACAAAAGTATTATTTTACTAAAAAAAAAATTAAATTCTTATACACTCAAAGACAAATAATTTGTGAAAAATATTTTTCAAAGAAAAATATATTAAAAAGAAACAAAGAATGAAAAATTACAAAAAAAAATGAATCGGTGAATAATAAAAATATAAGAAAAGAAATAAAAATTTACCTTTTTTGTTAAAAAAAAATAATTCACCTTTTCATATACATAATAGTTAAACAACATATACATTGATTTTGATACATAAATTTGTATGAAATTTTTAATTTCAAAAATATTAACAATGAATCTTAATAGAAAGATCTAATCGCGTATACTAATTTGATATGTAGCGCATTGTCTAATTATTTATATATTAAACGATATAATCATTTGAAAAAATAAGAAAAATTAAAAATAAATAAAAATTAAAAAAAAAAGTGGGCCGAGAACAGAATGAGGAAGAGATGGGAAGGGTGGGGGAATGAGAGTCGCGCGTGTAATACACTATTTTTTTATTTATTTTTTCTTTTTTTGATCTTGTTAATAATATTCACGACCCGTTGTTTCATAACTCGCTTTCAACCCGAATTTAGACCCGCGAACGGAGACGAGAAGACTGTTTCAAAAAATTGAAAAATACCTCTTACCTATTTTCTAAAAAGTCTATTTCAAACCTTCTGTTTTTCAAATTAATGTTTAGAAAAGACTTTAATTATTTTGTCCAAACGCATTTTAAACTCTAAACAGACTTTTTAGCCTTAAAAGTCTTTTTAAAACTCTTGTCCAAATGGAGCCTTACACATTATTATGCCCAAAATTTAGTTGACAAAGTTGAGCAGCAGAGGTTGAAGCCACCCAAATTAGTACTTGAAGCCACTAATTTTGAAGAATTTTTCTTTTGCTCCTGCCACTCGGACCGAACCGGGCAAGTCATTCGGTCCGATTCACGTGAGAACGGACAAATTATTAATTTATATTTCAATGTTAGTTTATTCGCAGTATCGTTACATGTTGAATACCTCGTACTTTAAATATTATTAACAATATTTATACTTTAGTGCTTAAACTCTTGATTTTATATTTACTTGAAAATAAACAAGTAATTAATTTTAACTTGAAAATAAATTTAAGATTATTTGTTAAGTTAATTTATTTGAATTGATATTAAAATGTAAATTTTGTTTTAATCATTATTTTAAACATAATTTTTAGTTAAAATAATAATTATACATTTATAATGAAAAATAATAATTGTACAAAGATTGTGACAAATATGTGCAAATAGATTAACTATTTTTTGTACTACAAAGATTGGTGATCCTTAATGTAACTCAAATAATAAATTATTAATAAATTTAATGACCTAAAAACTAGATTAACTAATTACAAAAAAAAATCTAAAAATTAAAAAAATAGCAATGAATCCGATTGTTATTTTTTAATTTTTAGACTTTTTTAAATAACAAATATTACTATTTTTTAATTACAAAAAAAAACCAAAAATTTAAAAATTAAAAAAGAGAGCATGACCGGTCCGGTTCATCATATCGGACCGAACTGAGACCGGCCGAGCAATGAACCCGTCCCGGGTTAACCCGGAACGGGCATGGAACTCGACCACTTATTTGCCCGAACGGGTTCATTACCCGTCCCGGGGCGGGACGGGCAATGAACCTGTTCGGGTGAACAAGTGGCCGAGTTATTTGCCCGTCTTGGGTTAACGCGGGACGGGTGGACCGCTCGGTCGATCAATTTTTTTTTTTAATTTTTAGTTTTTTTTTTATTTTCTCTCTAGTCAAATTATTTGATTTGAAAAAATAATAGGGGTAAAATGGTCTAATTTTAAAATATGTGGCTTTAAATAGTAAAAGTGGTGGCCTTGAAAATAAACACCTTTTTTTTTCCAGTTCGTTTTTCAGAATTTTTAACTGATAGATTCTTATATCCTAATATACTGCGTGTTTTTTACATTTTCAACCAAAATAAAAAAATAAAAATAAAATAAACCTCACACTTGCAAAACGTTCCAAACGAGACTATAGGTGGTGTGTGTCCATTTAGGACACATTATGGTTTTCGAAATGATTTAGGTTCCATTTGGACAAGAGTTTTAAAAAACTTTTAAGGCTAAAAAATTTGTTTAGAGTTTAAAATGCGTTTGGACAAAATAATTAAAGTATTTTTTAAATATCAATTTGAAAAAAAAAGGTTTGAAATAGAATTTTTAAAAAATAGTTAAGGGTATTTTTCAATTTTTTGAAACAGTCTTTTATCTCCGTTCGCTGGTCCCAATCTGGGTCGAAAACGGGTTATAAAAAATCGGGTTATGAATATCATTAACAAGACCAGAAAAAAAAAGGTGCATTACACAGGCGCGGCTCCCCTTCCCTCACCCTCCTCATCTCTTCCTCACTCTGTTCTCGGCCCCACTTTTTTTTTGAATTTTTATTTATTTTTAATTTTTTCCTATTTTTTTAAATGATTATATCTTTTAATATATAAATAATTAGATAACGTGTTATATATCAAATTAATCTACACGATGAGATCTTTCTGTTAAGATCCATTGTTAATATTTTTGGAACTAAATATTTCATTCAAATTTATATATCAAAATCAATGTATATGTTGTTTAACTATTATGTTTATGAAAAGTTAAATTATTTTTTTTTTACCAAAAAAAAGTAAATTTTTATTTCTTTTCTTTTATTTTTATTCTTCACTAATTACATTTTGAACTTTTTTTTTGTAATTTTTCATTATTTGTTTCTTTTTAATATACTTTTTTGAAAAATAATTTTCACAAATTATTTGTCTTTGAGTGTATGAGAATTTGATTTTTGTTTTTTTAGCAAAATAATACTTTTGTATCACATTTATTTTCTTTTTAATGATGTCATAAACATAATAAATTTACTGCTAGTACGAATACAACTGTAGTAATGATAGAAATTATAAATTAATTAAAAAATTATCTATTAGTATTTCTTTATTATGACTTATATACTACCAAATACCCCCTCAACTTATAGTCAACCTACCAAAAACCCCCTTAAGATAATAATATCATTATCAATTTTGTATAAACGGCAAATACTATTCTCTAATCTATATTTTTGAAATTATACGATTTAAATATTTTTAAAATATATCATAAATTAAGGTTAAAAAAATACCATATTAATCATTTTTTAATAATGCACTTAAATAGGAATTTTTCAAAATTTAACTCTATTATTTTGAAATAAAATAATTTTGATCAATTAATTTAGATTATTAATTATGAATTAACTTTTATATAGTAACTTACATTATTAATCATCGATTAACTCTTTTTTTTTTTAAATTTATAACATAATTGAAAATTGATAAAAATAAATTCACATTTTTAATGGTCAAAATACAAAGAAAAACAAACCAAAAAAACAAGAAAGTAAAGAAAATGAAGTGTATGTAAACTACGGTTAATATAGTCATTTCAATATTTGACCCCACTCAAGAGGTATATTGTAATATTAGTAAAACTCTGGGGGTTTTTGGTAGATCAGACCAAAACTCGGGGGGTAAAATATAGTTCACCCTATGTAATAAGTTAGAATGGTATAAATATTATGCATTTAATTTAGTTAAAATGGTTTTAAATCTACACTCTAGTTTTGATTTATGTTGGAACTTGGAAAGGTAAAGTGTGTTAAAGAAAATTTAGAACAAGATAATTGTGAATAATAAAAAAATAATTTAGAAAAGAAAAGTGAAAAAATGAAAATAAAAATTTGTCTAAGAATAATTTTATTTTTTTAAAAAAAAGTTAATTAATTATTTTTTTAACAAATACTTATGAAAAAGACCTAATCCAAATGGTTTTTTTCATATTTTTAACTTGTAAAAGGGTTTTGAGAAATTCTTGTCCAAATGCATTATTTTCCAAAAATTACTTTTTCAACTTTTGCTTCAAAGAGATTTTTCTAAACAACTTTTCAAAACTCTTGTCCAAATGGAGCCTTACTTTTCTCTTAAAGAAATGATTTATAAGATAAGGAAATTGGAGGACCTTGTGAATTTTCATTAGCGCTGTCTCATTTTCTTCTTTCGTTTGTTGTGCTGTTTTTTTTAAACAGAAGCTGTTTTATTTCGGTTTTGAATATAAGAAGTTTGAGTACAATCTACAATGTAATCTCCCTTGTTCCTATGGAAATGACAAAAGTCACTCGTTAAAGGTCTGGACAAACTAACATTAACCTTAATCTATACACAAAAATCACTACTTAATAGATCATAAGAAGCAAGTTTCTTGCAAAGGTAGGATTTATCTTTATTATTTGGGCCCAAACCTTGTTCCGATTGGTATTTTTCATCTTCCTGATCTTTGCCAAAATTCATCCTCAAAGACAAATTAATCTTCTGACAAATCTGAAAATCTTGAGGAGTGTCTCCTCGGTTACTTCTAGCTTCCCAAAAGTACTGTTATTCACGGCATTGTACGGAGTTTGTTGTGCTACTGTAGCTGGGAGATAATCTTGTCCCATCAGCTCTGCAGCTGGGAGATATCCTTGATGCAAGCCTCAATTTGACGCTCCGAATATCCATTTTCAGAACTCGCCCTTCGACAAATCTCACTGATTTCCTGCGCTTTTCTTCTCATTTCTTTCACTTCTTCACATCCCGAGTCCATAAATGTCTTCAACATTCTTGAGATTTCACCCCTTTCCATCAGTCTTCCATCACTATTTTCCTTCAATCTCCAACCAATTTTCCAGTCTTCCACAATCTGCTTCCTGTTGGTATACTGATCAAACGCAATCGGGCAAGTAAGCACCGGCAAACCCGAAAACGCAGCTTCTTTAGTAGAATTCCATCCACAATGTGACCAAAATCCACCTATACTGGGATGAGACAACACTTTCAGTTGATCACACCAAGTCACAACCAACCCATTACAACAAGATTCACCACCAATCCCTTCAATAACTCGGTCTCTATTTTCTCTGGCTACCCAGAAGAATCTTATCCCACTATCACGAACTCCAGCAACAAATTCATCCAACTGTTCATCAGTGGACGAAAGAAAACTCCCTTGAGAGATATACAACACAGAAGCTTTGGGTTGAGCATCCAGCCAAGAAACATGATCATGATCGTTTTTAGAATCCTTGTTGAAGGAAGGAATGGATAAACCTATGGTGTAGATAGGACAGGGGAGCTCTTTCTTAAAATTGTTTATGACTTGAGTTTCCAGCTCGTAGACTGAATTAATCAGGAAATATTCCGCCTTGCCAGCTTCAGAAACCAATTCTCGTGACCCTTCAATGATTCTCTTAAATTTTCCCTCCAGAAACTCCTTGGGAAAATCGTCAACTCGAATTGAGGAAATTCCAGGAATGCAGTTTACCCGATGCTCTCCTTGTTCTGTAAAAACCCAAATTAGTGAGATTATCTCGAAATTCGACTGGACTTTCACAGATTGCGAAATAAACCGAATAAGATGAAATGGAAGACTAACTAACCCAATGGATTGGCAGGCAGTTGACCATTTTGGAGGAGAGTTTGGAAATGATACATGACTGTCAAATAAGTTGCCGACATTGGCCAAAATGAAGCCGCCGGAATGGACCTCCGGTGAGCGACGCCTAAAACCCACTTCAAAAACGTGTCGTATATGATGACTTTTGGCTTTGGCGGCTCGAGCTGATCTAGAAGTTCCTCAACCGGAGCTTCCATTTTCGTCATGACAGCTTCAGCAAAGCCCTGGACGTCCTTAGCTCTGCTTTTCTCGGAAGGAGTTACATTCGGGATAGTAGCAAATCGGATATTGTGACCCGGGTTGGGTTCGGAACTCAGTAAACCAAGCCATTCTTCAGTAACTACGAAGGTTATGAGGAAATCTGATCTTCTCTGAGTTATAAGCTTGCAGAAGTTCATCATTTGGTTGATGTGGCCTCTTCCTGGAGATGGTATGGCCACTAATTGGCAATGAATGAAACTTGAACATTCATTACTGGAAGTGGAAGTTGATGATGAACCCATTCGATATACCAAACCAAAGATTCTTCCCCGCTGAAAATTTCTTGTGAGAACAAGTCTAAAGAGTGAGCAAATCTATTACTATCAGGCAATGATAGTTTACCAATGATAGTTTGTAAACTCCAACCAACATTTTGCACTGTTCTACCAGTCCTAACAATTAAATAATGTGACCCATGGAAAATTCAAAAAGATGCTTTGACTCATTGACTGTGGGTCTTTGACATAATTGCTTACGAAATTGGAGTTTCCTCTGACCATTTTCGTAGGAGAATCGGCCTTCCGGTCCAACATTTGGTAATGGAATTTTGGAATTGAGAAGAAATATTTGTTTTTCTCCCTCTCTTTTTATTACTAGTGTTTAAACTTCATTAGTGTTTTTTTTCTCCCTCTCTTTTTATTAGTGTTTAAACTTGACAAGAGGTATTATGCATGTCATTGTTACTCTATAGGTTTGAAAGTGGCTAGCCAGTTTGTTTTTCATCAGTCAATACACGACTCTTGCTTACATGATGTGTTTATTTCTAATTTACTAAACTGAAATTTTAGACTAGTGAATAGCTTAATTTGAAACATGAATCTAGGTAATGGATAATTTTGTTTAAGATGGATATCAATTTTCTTTTTAATACGTAAATAGTACTCCTTCTGTTCTAAAATTATTATCTAATTTGGAATGTCATTTTTAGTACAAAGACCAGAAGTGAAAGTCGAAAGTGGACAATAATTTTGGGACGAAAGGAGTATATTTTAGTACATGTATAACCAAGTTACAGGGCATGGCAGCAGCTTGTTATCTTCTTCAAGAATATTGAGAATTCCAGTCCCACACTGGTGTTGGGAGAAACTGAATATTAATGTAAAAGTATATGGACTACTCCCCTCATACCCAATTAATTTGAGGTGAAACCCCATCAGTTTCTGTATGGTATCAGAGCCAGCCCACTGACATTCGGACTCCAAAAAGCCCAACAAAAAAATAGAGCTGACGTGAGGCATTGTTTGGATTGAAAAAAATTACATGCCAAACCCAACCCAAAAAATACATTGGGTCTGCGAGGGAGTATTGAGAATTCCAGTCCTACATTGGTACTGAGAGAAACTGAATATCAATATAAAAGTAAATGGTCTACTCCCCTCATGGCCAATTGGTTTTGAGGTGAAAACCCATGGATTTCAGTAAAGAACGCCTCAATTTGCAGTTGAGAAGATCCACCTTCTGCAATTGCTCTCCGACAAATCTCCTTCACCTCTTGGGCTCTTCTTCTCATCTCTTTACCTTCATCCCAGTCCAAATCCATGAACTTTCTCAAAACCCCTGAAATTTCTTCCCTCGAAACAAAACTTCCATCACTTTTCTTCAACCTCTGGCCCATCTTCCAATCTTCCACAATATGCTTGCTGTTGGGGTACTGATCCCACTTCAATGGAAAAGTAAGCATGGGAACCCCAGAAAACGCACCTTCTTTAGTCGAATTCCACCCGCAATGCGACCAGAATCCGCCGATTGAAGGGTGGCAGAGCACTTTGATTTGGTCACACCAAGGCACGATTAGCCCTCTGTTATCTTTTCCCATTTCCCATCGGGAAACATCTTCCCTAATGACCCAGAAAAATCTAACACCACTGTCAACTATTCCGGCAGCTATTTCATCAATCTGTAGGCTGGATACAGAAATGTAGGTTCCAAATGAAATGTACAAAACAGAGGATTTTGGTTGAGAATTTAGCCACCCGGAATAGTCAACAACATCGCTGGAAGAATTATCCTCTTTCAGGGTCCAATAAGGTATAGCCGGGCCGATAGTGTAGATTGGGATGGGGAATTTGGCTTTCAAAGCGTCAATTGCTGAAGATTCAAGCTCATAATATGAAGTAAACAGAAGACACTTTGCTTCAACCGGGATTGATTTAATGACATCTAACGTAACGGCGAGTATTTCCGGCCCTGCGCCATGGATTTGCGGTGGAAAGTCTGCCAGGCAAATCGGCGCTAATCCCGGAATGTAGTCCACCACCTTCTCCCCCCACTCTGCTCCTGCCGAAATAGAAGGAAAAAGGAAAAAAAAAAAAAAAGGCTAACAATTTTGCTTTGATTAAACTAAAATTTAGGAAACTGATTTCACTGACCTGTTGGAATGGCCTGAAAATGTCCGTTCTGGAGGAGGAGGTCAAAGTGATGAAAAATTGAGTACATGGTGGCTGAAACTGTCCAAAAGGGAGCCACCGGAATATTCCTCCGTCTTCCGATCTTCAAAGCCCATCTCAAGTACGCATCCGAGAGTATAATACTGGGATCAGGGATTTCTAATCGGTCCAAGAGAGAGTCAACTGCTGGTTCCATTTTCGTCAATATGGCTTCAACGAAAGCCTGGAAAGATTTCCCTCTGCTTCCCTCCAGAGGAAGAACATTCGGGATTGCGACGAATCGCATGGTTTCCGGTACGGGATCGGGGCTGAGGAGTTCTTGCCACTCTTCGGTGACCACGACGGTGATCTGAATGTTGTTGTTGGGTTGGGCAGTGGATATAAGCTGCTTGCAGAAGTTCATCAAGGGGTTGATGTGGCCTCTGCCTGGGTATGGTATTGCAATTATGTTACATTTTTTGGTTGATTTTATGAGATCCATATTTGCTTTTACTACTACTACTTCTTGATTTTCAGAAGAAACAGGGGATGAACAAGGACGAAGAAGAAGATCAAAGTAAGTGGTGAAAATGCCACTATGCCAGTGTCAATTATTGAAGGCTCTGCGTTGTTTATTTTAGTAGTTCTCCATTATTCTACTTTTCTTGTCGTGCATGATTGATGATATAATTATAAGATTTTTTTTTCTCCTTTTTAAATGCTTACGATACTGATTGCATCAATTAATAAATGTCTCCACTTCAATTGTTTTTCTAAGAAGTCCACTTCACTTGTAGTATTGATGAACTGAATCAATGTGAGAAAGAAATTTGGTCAACTGCCGGCTGTATTTTAAAAATTTCCTTCTCATATTCAAATTCGAATGAGGTACATGCACCTAACCAAAAGTGATTGAGTTACATCTTATACTCTTTTGCAAAGAAAATTTATCAACATTGAATCCACTACACGTGTAAGATACACATTTGGAAAAAGAATTATGAATACAATTCAGCAAGCTTTCTATTATAAATATTTGCAGTTTGTTACCATATTTGACTTGCTTATAGTTGAAGACTGAAAATTATGTTGATGTTTAAAATAACATTTCTATGCTTTTCTAATTAAGAAAAAACCCTATTAAAACAAAGTTGAAAAATATGTCTCTATTTTAGCGTGGACAGATAATATTAGTAGACACATTTATTGAACCACATAATATTATTTGAAAGAATCATACTCTTCCATTCCAGAATGATCATTTTTCCCCCCTTTTTTTGGCATATATTTGGGACAGAGGAAATCCAAACTAGGCTAAACAACGCAGCTAGAGTTAGACATTGTTGGGTGGGGGGTAATTCTGCACCCATATTTGCTTCTTTTCAGCCGTCCCTTTTAACAAAGCGGCCCTGTTTTACCAAAAAAACAAAAGCTTTTTTCAGTACATATCTCTTATGCATTTGCAACAATTAAGATTAAAAACATGCTGGGAAAAAATGAGGATGACCTTGAGTCTGGGTCTGTTATCAGCATTAAGTTTCCGAACTTGATATCTTATCTTCTTGGAGAACAGCCTTGCCTGTCTCTTTTCCTTGTATCTAAGCACACTTGCTTCCCTTCTTTTTCTATCCTCTTCTATTACAGTAAGTGGCGCCACCCCTTCAATCTGAATAGAAAGTTGTATAAAGTAATTGTTACAGAAATCTTCTGAAAATTCAAATGGCATAAATATGCATCACAAGGCACAAATATCACACGATTTAGTAATCGATTACTAAGGTAAATAGATGATAGGGTCTTTTGTGACATTATGTGTGGCACATCATGAGATACTGGTTAAATGGTTGATACATATTTAAGTAATTAATTATTAACACTCTAACCAAATGGTAAGTGGTTAAACAAGTATCAACATTTTAGTTAGTGTCACGGTATGTAATACAAAAGTGTCACATAAGATCTTTTAACGACCAGGAGTTTTCATTCTATAATACGCAAAGTATAACTACAGCTAAAACCTTTATTAAGATATAATACGGTAAGGAAATTGTAATGACTAATGACGAAGTCAGGATTATGTATGATGATTGGGAGATTTACCATGACAAATATGAAACAACATGATGAATAAAGTTCCTAAATTAGTGAGTCTTCCATTCCAAAAATAGAAACTTACCACAGAAGAAGAAGAAGTGGTGGGGTAGGAGATGGAATCATCAGCCCAAAGTGTTCGGTCGGACCAAGCATCCTGAACATGTTGATAATTTAAGCTCAGATTCAAACGCATCTTTTTCCCATCTTCTTCATCATCTTCTGCTTCTTCTTCTTCTTCATCTTCCCAGAATTTGCAACCGGGCTCTGTTTTTATTATGGCCCCTCCTCCTGCTGCTTCCTGAAAACACATTCCCAGAGATTCCTGACAGTAATTACCATTTCCATCTTCAGTATAAGGCAAATTCAAGAAATCCCAGTAACTCATCATTTGTTTCCCCTCTGGAATTCTGTCTTCATGATAACAACCCAAATCGACGCTCAACCCGTCGATAAACTCGTCCATAACAACATCATCATCATCAACAAAAACATCTGTTTTAATTTGGAAATCTGGAGGCAATTCCAATTCTTCCTTCTTCACAAAGGTGGATATATTTGTTATCACCATTTGTACACCCTGAGATTTCAGTCTTCAAGTTTCTGGTCACTGCCAATGTAGTAGTGGCCAGTAGGTAGTACTTAGAAGAGTGGGGGAATGAGATATTTTGGTTGGGAAGATATTTTGGGGTTTTTGAACTTTTTTGAACAAAAAAGCATAAAGTAGGATCGCTTTTTGGTCCTACGTGGCGATTTACCGGACTGCTATTGGTGGGTACATGGCCTATGAATATATGTGATAATCCAGCTTGGAATGTAGTGCGAAGCTGCAATGCAAATTTAAGAGGTCAGGTAGGTCTTAAGTGTCTCATAAGTGTCCTCTCATAACTTCCACACTTAAATTAATAAAGTGAACTCTATTTATTTGACAAAAATTTAATGTTTCTCTTTTTCCCCCATTTATATCGAAAATGATAATGACTTATGCGGAAAATTTTTTGCAAGAAATGAATGATAATCGTCCATACTTACACCTTATCTTTACGAGATTTATACATTTAAGACTTAAAGAATAATTAAGATTCAACCACATTATTTCTAATAAATTTCTTATTAGAACTTTCTCTATATGTATCACCACTCTGAAGAAAATATCTCTACATATTGGATGGAATAACTGATACCGCAAACTCGGACCCTCTAATAATCCGGGAAACGAATTATTCCTACCAAATAAAAATGAATTTCGGAATGAAATGGCAACGGTCAAAGCATCTAAATATGACAAGGGCCAACGGGGCTATTAAGAGAGTTAGCGGGCCCTTAACGCCACGTTTTTATGTTGAAAGGCTTTTTTTTTTCTTTTTTGTGGAAAATTATGTTGAAAGCTGAAACTTTAAGAAATGCACAGCCAGATTTGGCCCAAAATCTATTGTTCTGTAGCTCTTGCACTCTGCAAACAAGCCCACAAGAGTTGAACCATTAATGTTTTTTACCATTTTCGACCAAAAATCATAGCAATTTAATTTATTATTCTCTTTGCTGCAAAAAGTTATATCATATTTGGTTTTTCAATTTTTTTACAATTTATACTAAAAATAAAATTTCAAATCAACAATTATTTTAGACATATAATTAAGTGATGCTGTTTTTATAAGACACGAGGAGAAATCATGTAATTAAATATAAGTTTTTACAAGAATTCAATCCACCAGGACAGATTTAGTCTCAGCTTAGTTGGTATGTTCTCTCCTAACGTAATTGTTGTTAAAACTCAGCCTTTGCCTCTACACTATTGTTATTGTAGTGTTCATCTAATTTATAATGAAATACTCCCTCCATCCCATAATTATTGTCCAGTTTGAGTTTTCATTTCTAGTTCAAATTGTACTAAAAATGAAATCTCAAACTGGACAATAATTTTGGAACAGAGGGAATACTATATAAGGAGTAATTTTGGTCTAATGAAACAACCCATCATATGCTTGATGACAATAAAGAAGGACCTCCAAACCCAAGTCAACATTCAACCGGAAGAAAACTTCATTACAATTATAAACAAATTATCCTAGTGTCAGAGGTTCTGTAAAATTAGCAAGAAAATCCAGTACCAACTTGCTGTTTTGGTAATTCGCAAAATAATCTGATTGAACTCTTTTGTCTCCCTCATACAGCTGGTGAAGTGAAAGATTAATGCTGTTTAATTGTATTTTCTTTTAATCCCAAGAGTTTAAAGAAATGTAGAGAACAAAAATTTCCTTAAAATATGATATTTGTCTTTTTTATTTTTCACTACTCCCTTAATTCCAAAAAAAATAGTCCATATTTGTGTTTCAATAGAATATAAGAAGCACCGTTAAAGTCGTGTTCTCAACCATAGTCTGACATTTAAAAGATGATAATACAAATGAGTATAATCTGAATCCTCAAAAAATTAAGTGATTGAGTATAAAAAATAATTATTCGATAAATATGCTTCAATTCTATATCCCAATCTCTGCTCACTAGCTCCCGAATCACTTAATGACTATCTCCATGCACACAAATTTGACCATTTGATTAATGCCAAACACGTATTTGACAATATTATTAATGTCGTGCATATTGCATAATAGTGCTGCATATAATTGAAAATGTGTGAAAATTTTCTGTAGCCCATCAAAGAAAAGTCTATCAATACATCACATTATAGTTGTTGAACCTATATATAGCTTACTAGTACAATTATTTCTTAATTATAATTGGTGATTATAAAAACCAGTGGCGCCTTTTGGTGGTTTTAATTTTCTGAATAGCCCAGCTCATTTAACTTCCACATCATGGTTATGTGATGTGAATATATCGGGCCTAGGTTATTCATTATTATTTCATTAGGTTCGTCTAATTCCAGCTCTCTTTCTTTTCTTTTCATTTTTTTTTTGTAAACAAAAAATAAAAATTATTCTATATTAATTCGTACATTTGACAAACCAAGCCAAATACGTAATTATTCGACCACGAGTACAATTGAAAACTTGGATGTTCAAACTTCAAATACGTACTTCAACGATCACATTGAATCGAAAGACATCTTAGACGACGCCCTGATTGGTTTCAGTACTGAGATTTGAGAGAGTGAAATTAATTTTTCTTTCCGTTAATTAATATTTGGAAACTGTATTTTTTTAAAGTTATCATTGTAAAATCTAGAATGTCTCAACGTGCTTATTTTATGCGAAAATAAGAAACAAGGTAGAATCCAATTAATTAAGATATATAAATCAAGGTGTAGTTACTTTGCTGGTAATGGGAAAATAATAAATCACTATATACATGTACTGTAGTTGCCTCAATGATTAAAATAACATTAACCAAAGAGTGACTTTTGCGTTTAGTTTGTTCACGACTTTTACTATGGGGTTAGATATGATAATAAGAAAAGGTTCCTATTGATATACCCATTCCAAAATAGTTGTTTAATTTAAATTAGGTTTAGGTATCATTTTCTAATTTATTAAATTAATGGTACAAATATTTAAATGCGAATTTTAAGAAAAAAATTAATCTTTTTATTAAATCAATGTGAATACTTTTAGATTATGATTTTTTTTTATAAAAAAATTAAATTAGTTTGATTGAGTCTCAATAACTCTTATTTTAATATCAAATAGTGCAGTAAAAAATTATAGATTTCAATTTCAATTCGAATCATATGTTAATCAATTCAAATTTACATATACTGATGTTCATTAATTTAAATTTGACTCAAAAAATTCAAATAAAAACTTGAGTTTACAATTAAAAAAATATTTTATGATATAATAATAAATTTACACAATATAATACCACGTGAAAACAAATAATTGAAGAAAAAAAAGTTATGAAAACAGGAATTAGACCTTGGTGGGTTTAGAAGATTCCTAAATAATTAGGTATCAATCTATTCAGACCAATTTAAAACCCACTAACCAAACATCAAAAACTGAAAATTATTCCATTCCTCCATTCCAAAACCCTCCTAGCAAACACACCCTTAGAAGAATCATATCCGTGATAATTAATGTTACGGGAGAAACTGAACTTTAATTATTAAATTTTGATAAATTATCTCAAGATTTTTTGGATAAATAATTAAACCTAAAAAAAATTATTAACGATACCCTATAAAACTTAATTGCAATAAACAATATAATGATATTATACCATTACACGAGCACTTTTCCACATGCAATCATATCATGTATAGAACTAAGAAAAAGGCTCATAGTATTCTTTGGATTAATTAGTTCATACACCCACCAGTAACCTACTCCCCATTCCTATTTATAGGATACAAATTCAAATTACCTTTAATTTAAATCTATACTGTATAATTAAATCAAGTAATTACAAATTCATCTCACGATGTATGCTTGCAGTTTAGATGATGGAGGTAGACATATATGTCGTGAAATGAATTTTGCTGCAGACTCCCTAATATCGTTTGGACGAAGAGCTCTGAAAGTCTGCTGTGGTTGGATGATTCCAGTCCATCTTAAATCGTGGTTTGTACATAATGTAAGTAGTGTATAAAACAAATTAACAAACTATAATATATATGTTAGGAGTTTAGGCATTTGCCTCCTTTACTGTATAAAAAAAAAACAAAAACAAAAAAAAGATCTAGTATATATTTAGCCCATGCGGCGTTAATTCAATACATCTGAAAAGGAAAAACGAAACAGGCCGTAGCAGAAGATTATGTGCTTCAATGTTCAAAGTCAATAAGTTCCAGAATACAAGGCAAAAGCTTTTTACCTGATCAGTCGGTTGTGAATTTTAGATGGTTATACTGATTTCTGTTTTGCCCCATTTTTCAATTTGAGGGCTCGAGGTGTAATGCTTCCAAACTGAAAAAAAGGTGAACTTTTTTTTTTTTTTTTTCTCAATTTCAGAAAGGTGAACCTTTTTTTTTCTCAATTTCAGGTGTTTTCCAAGATATGTAAATTCTACTGCGACGACCTTTTGTTGTTGTTGTTGTTGTTGTTGTTGTTGTGTGTGTGTGTGTGTGTGTGTTTTTTTTTCCCTGTTACCTAGACACAAGAACACGGGAAAAAGTAGTACTCCATCGAATCAATCACTAAAAGGTGAAATTAATCCTTTTTTTTTCATTCTGTTTTTTATTTGTGTAGAAAGATGAAATCCTTTGAACTTTTAGGGGTTATTTGAATACTTCTACGATCTTGCTTAGAACTAATAAATAATTCCATCATGGTGCCACTTTTCCATTTTGTGATCTCCATGGAAGTAATTCTTTTGGAATATCAGATATTTGTCTCATTTGTTGTGTACTATGTCATTTATCATAACAAGTAAAAACTAAATCGTCTTTATAATGATGCATTGTTATCAATCCAAAATAGGACAATAAATCCCGCAATTTTTGTTCGTTTCAGGGAATTTTTTTCCTGCACTTTTTTCCCAACCCCATTCATGAATCCAACATATATGTACGTCATGCTGATCGAGTTGAAAAAATGGGAACTTTAGTTGTTTTCGTTGAACTTGATGTATAATTAATCTCGCGTTCAACATGAGATGACTGCTATTAATTGCACGCAATTAAGTGAGAGGGAACTGGCCATGTGACCTATCCTTTTCTTGTATGATAAACAACATTCGAAACTACGACATTAAGAATTAATTTGCAACCTAGTAAATGATCCATCCCGCAGTTCAATTTGTACAGTTTGAAACTAGGAATAATCTTGTTTTGCCCAGAATGTAAAACTGAAGGGATAATAACTCGGAAAATGCATAGGGAGAGAAAGGGTCAGGTGTTATTTGAGAAGAACATCCAACCACATTTGAGTCGCTTTTGAAGAATAAAGAAGCAAAATGTGAACCCTACTTCACTCTTACTCCATCGATCCCACACATGTGCTACAGTTGACCAACTACTTTCTCCTAGTAAATTTCCTTTTTTTTTTTTTTTCTTTCTTGGCAAAAATCTAGGGAACTACGACTACCTGCAAGAGAAATTAAACTAATCGAGCTGATACCAAAAAAAAAAAAAAACTGAAAAGTAACATCAAACTACTACTTCCATTAATACTAATGAACCAGTTAGATTAGATCATGAGATGATGAAAGAACAAAATATGGGTTTTTTTTTTTTTTTTGTTTATGTCCAAAGAGACTCTCTCTTAAGAGGGTCTTGCATTACATTGGTGGAGGAATTAGCTGCGAAACTAAGGTACTGTTGTAGGTTATTGAAGTTAGCAGCAGTGGATAAAAGGAGAGATTTATCATCTGGAATGTCAAGCAGTTGGTTATGATGATGATGATGATGATGATTTGTAGGTAAAGCAGTAGTACTGGTTGGTGGCTCCTGCTGCTGCATCTGAATGCACAAAATCTCTGCTTGAGCCACTGCCAACTGCATTTGTAACTGAGAAACCTGATTCTGCAAGTAAGAAATCGCACCGACACAGCCGTAAACCGGGTCTCTCATTCTTGCATTTGCTTCGTATACTAAACTGCTTACTGCATCTCCCCTCTGCTGAACAGGTAGCTCCTGAGCAAAACAAACAAAAAGAATTCCCATATGGTTAAGATTTAAAGAAGGTCAAATATTAATCTTTATACATTCTATACCGGGGTTAGGCTATGTACATCTAGACCCCCATAACCCAACCGAGTTGGGAATATACTGAGTATGTAGGATTAATCTTTATACGTTCTATAACAGTCATGGTTCTGGGCTTAGAAAATGGAACTGATGAAATGAGGAAATGCATGAGGGAGTATCAATCCAAAAATAAGGTGCATCTATTTCCAACTGTTGAACCTCTAAGACACCCCACAAATATGTGTATTTTCTTTCACCGTCCTAAACTAACAGTCATGTTTATTACTTTGAAGAACTTGAGAAAAGTTCCGAGATCAAGACTATTATTTCGCTAAGGAGGGGGTGTTATTTTGTCGTGTAAGCCAGCAAGGGAGATGAGAGTTTTGTAAGGACAAACCTGTAACATCTTGCTAACGTTGCTTGCACCAAAAACCTTATGAACCATGGCGAACTTCTGAGGATCATCAGGAGGGAAGTAGGGGGCGAAAATGCAGTCTTTGGCGCACCGGCGCCTCAACAACTTGCAGGAAGCACAGGGAGAAGTTCCTGATCCCATTTCTCGTTTTCACACTAACAAGAAGGGGCTATGATGTTGTTATGTGAAGGGCTCAAAGGCATATAAGGCATATAAGGAGTACTACAAACTAAAGCTAGCTAGGTGAAGAGGGTTTGTTGTATATATTGGAAAGTGAATGAGGGTGAGATGTCTATTTATAATGGTTTTCAGACAGTGTAAGACCTAAAACCAGAATGAATCAAACCAAAAAAAATATTTTGAAACGGTCTATTCTTTTCACCAAAAGATTACTTTGCAGCTTGCATTTATCTAAGTGAAGTAGAATGACAAAAGGGGGAACTAACTTTAATTTGGATGTCATGGGAAGTGGAAAAAAAAATAAAGAAATATTTAGGAAGAACGAATTTACTTTTCTAGCCTCGTCAATAGTTCATAACAAGAAGTACCGTCAAGGGCAATTTGGTCTGTCTCGAAAGGAAACCGTCTAGGTGAATCGAGGATATGAAGTTGACCACCGCCATGGTGCGTGATAGGTTGGCTATTGATGCAGTTTTTTGTTTAGTTTCCACGTTCCTGTTTGACTCCTACTTGTTGAAGTCGGGAGCAGTCTGCAGGCCAAAAATAAAATACATATTTTTAGATAAATTATTAAGCACTGTATAATTCAATACCATATTCTCTCGGTCCTATAATTTGTATCCAGTTTAGCTAAATGTGAAGATTTTATTTTTGGTCAAACTCAACCTTTTTTTGTCATAAGGTTCCAAATATACCCTGCACACATAAATGGTTTAATCGGCCAATTCAAAAACCCATGTCAGAGTTCAAGAACAATGCTTCCATTTGTTCTTCAATTAGGCGCCTATAATCGGAGCAATTCAGGAGAAGAATTTCAGATTTTAGAGAATGTTCTCACTCTAAGTTTCAATTTAGGCACCTATGATCTCTTGAGCACTCTCAAAACCACCCCTCCTACGCCTTTTGCCGAACAGGTAAACTTCACTTCTGATTTCTAAATAAAATTAACATAATTCCATTTCATGATTCCAATTGGTCCATCAACTGTGGTGTTTACAGGATCTAATTTGATGTAATTCTGGAGCAGGACTTCCTGAACATGTTTTTCAGGGGCATTTACGAGTCAATTCCACAAATTTACAACTTGGTTCTGACCATGCTCTGGCGCCACTATGAGAACATCGAGCTTGAGAAAGTCAAGGTAGTTCATTACTGTGCCGCCGGATCAAAGCCGTGGAGGTACACCGGCAAGGAAGAGAACATGGACCAGGAGACATCAAGATGTTGCTCAAGAAATGGAGGGACATTTACAATGATGAGTCCTTGGATTGCAAGAACATCTTAACTGCAACTGCTGCTCTGGCCACAAATCCGGTGGCTATTGGGTCTGTCGAAGAACCACCGCTGCTAGGAGTCGTCGAAGAACCATCATCTGCTGCTACTGGTGTTGTTTAGCTCTAAGATGTGATGTGCGAAGGGAACAATAGAGAAAAATGTTTCAGGAATATTTTTTTTCTTTATAGGGATAAAGGCAATATGTTAATTTAACTAAAAAAAAGTCTAAGTAGACAATAATTTTGGAACAAAATTTTTTTGGCAAACTGGACAAAAATTATGGGACGGAGGGAGTATTAATTATTGAAATTAGTAGTGCAAGCTAGTAATATACTATATGCAAAAAAAAAAATGTTGCAATGGGACAAACGTCATAAATGAAATGAGCACACCAAGGGCTAGGGTTTAGTAAAAATTTGACTATGATGGGAAGCTAACGAAGCAAAAAAACCCTAACCCCAAACGAGGGGGGAAATAAAAAGATAGGCTCGACGTGAATGTTTGTTGGCGGATATTCACATGAAAACTTGAAACTTTTGAAGGACATGCAAATTTCGCAATAACTCAATTTTTGTCTCATTTGATAATACATTAACGGCCATGCAGACTAATAACTAATCTTAGATCTTGAAACTAGTTACTCCCTCCATTCCAAAATAAGTGTCGTCCTACGCTTTGCACATAGTTTAAGAAACTCTTAAATATGGTAATAAAATTACTTGAATATCCTCAACCAATCCCATTATAAAATTGTCCACCAATAGCATCAACTCTTTTGAGGGTAATTTTGGGAACTTTTGACAAAAAGTGCATTGAAATGTGAGAACGACACTTATTTTGGAATTTCTCAATTTTACTAAAACGACACTTATTTTGGAATGGAGGAAGTATTTTTTTTGGTGGACTTGAACAACATTAAACAAACAAACGTTACAATGATGGAAAAAAACTAAGACATTAATGGGAAATATTAGGGTGGCTACATGATCATGATCGATCAGCGTAAGTTTCTAATGGCAAAAGAAAGAAATGAGAGAGAAGTCCTTCTTTGGACCTAAAATGAATGTCTTGTTTGAATACCATTTTGATATTGACACAATAAGGCAATTATTTTGAGACATAAGGAGTACATTGACAAGTTAATTATCACTAATTACAGGTTCAAATTTTCTTATAATTAAACTAGTGGTTGATGTTAAACTAAATGTTGGTGAAGGAAGCACAAGTTGTCCTTCATAAATTAAGTACATATATATAGGTATTGGAAAATTTGCAAAGGTCATGAAGTCAAAATTGAAGAAAATCGTGAGGCCATATCATTCTGAAGGAAATATTATGTTGGTTCCCAGAATCTCTCAATTCGACTCAGAGAGGGCGATAGAGTAATTTAGCCCTCTTGTCTTAGACACAAGTTCAACTAGATTCATAGATGTGAGTTGTTACCAACTCTTTTTTAGACAGATTTGTTTTAGTCAAAATGAAATGTTTTTTCCTTTGACAGTTCTTTAAAAGGTGGGCTTAATAATGATTGATAAATTAGTAAAATAATGTTTTATTGAGTTGATAACATTAATTTCGTTGAACTCGACACCAAGAATGTATCTTCCTGTGTGACTAGCCTACACGTACGTGCGAGTTTTTTTCGTACAATTTAATTATTATGTGATTAATTATATTAAATTAAACAAAAGAAATGCACATCCTTTTTTCCGAGTTGTAGAGAGTGGGATGCATGGCATATTGGCGGTGGTGAACTCTAAATCTTCATTTCTTCTTCATAATAATAATATACTACTTTCTTCGGTCCTTAATATAAGGCATTTGATTTATCTTAAGTTTCACCTAATAAATATTTTTAACTATCAAATTTTTTTAAAAAATTATTTCATAACAATCAAGATAATACAATGAATATAAAAATATATTTTAAAGATTTTTTTTGTAAATTTCAAATGTGTACTAGGTGAAACCTAAAACAAATAAAAATATCTTATATTAAGGACCGGAGGGAGTACTAATTGCAGTTGAAAAAATCAAAACGACAACCATAAAACCACAAGGTCTTCGACCCACCACTATGGAATTAATGAGATCCGAAACAAAATACTACTAATGTTTTTAGATGTTTTTTAAAATAAAATTGAGACAGAACAGACTGTAGAGGTCATAGGGTAATATTAGTTTTTAATGCAAGAGATCACATGCAAAGATTAAGTTAAATATTAGGGCATCTAATTCATAATTAATGTGGGTTTGGCAGGCAAAAGGATGGAAGAAGAAGAAGAAGAAAAGATTCCAACATCAATTTGCTGCAAGATGTTGGAAATTAATTAAAATGTCTCTATACTATAGTCCTAGTTAGTTAAATTTAGCTAGGTCGTTGTGGTGATTTATGCATCACGAGGCTTCTGATCACTGATGCTTTCACTTAAATTAAAGAGTTGAAGAACCCCAGCTAAGATTGGATTCCCCCCACTTTCATGCATTTAATGGTTTCCACATGATTCCAAGCTTCTAATCTTCTATTCCGAGGAAAAACAATTAAAAGAGGGCTCTATTCCCCTAGTTGTTTGTGGTGGCATTTTGCATATCTACCAAGATTTTTTAAAAAAACTTTACCTTTGTCTTGTAAGAAGTCACTCTTTTGCTTACTCTTAGACTCCTTTTTGTCTTGGACTAATGTCCATACAAACACGATTCAATGACATCAACGCTCCTCCGATTTAGCACTCCCTTCTAATTGAGTATTTTTTCCGTTCCAAAATAAATATCATTCTAGAGTTTGCACACAGTTTAAGAAAATATTAAATAGAGTAACTAAATTACTAGAATATCCTCAACCAACCCCATTAAAATAAATGCTTACCAATAATATTATTTCTTTTGAGGGTATGTTTGGAAATTTTTGATAAAAAATGCATTGGAATCTGAAAACAACACTTATTTTGAAATTTCTCCATTTTGCCAAAACGACACTTATTTTGAAATGGAGGGAGTACCTACCTAATAACCTTTTAAAAATTTCAATGAAGTCCCTACCCTTCTTTTTCGAAACCTATTTCATTAATTCTTTCGTACACTCCAAACAATTATTTGAATACCACTAGTGAACATTAATATGTACTAAAGGCATCAAATAAATAAATTAAAAAATTGAATATGTTACAACATTGAATTCAACAATGATTTTTAACGGAGAATGACAAATAGTTAATACGAATAAATTTATACCAGATTATAGTTGTGTAAAAAAAAAAAAGAAAGGACTTTATTGAACTTTTCTTTGAGATCAAGGGGCTAAACTATATATATATAGTGTGGGACCAAGTTGAAGGAACATTGGTGTGTCATTTACCCTAACATTATACTAAATGACAGACTCTGCATACATTGAATTTATGAAAATTCACAATTAATATGACCAAACTAGACGCGTAGTTTTCTGTTTCAGTTTCTTCATGGATTCAAACCCCTACGCTCTTAGGAAGAAGAGAAAAAGTAGACAGGATGAGAACCTTGTTATAAAAATTAGGTTTTAAAATTGTGTCCATGCGGGTTTTCCGAAATGATGTGCGAACTATTAGAAAAACAGACATCTTCACCGTCTTAGAGATAATAAAAAACATGCGACCTCCAATGCATACATTAATTGCCCCCTTTTTTGTGATATGGAAGATTCGATTATTGGGATATGGTGTCAATAAGTATGGCTCAATTTTTTTTTCAAATTACAGACATTTTAATGGTGGGGTATATATAATCAATGGTGAAGCAATCTTTCACAAAAAGACAATTGAACACATTTCCATGGTGAAGACTGGTTTCTTTAGCCTCATAACATAACTAGTTAGGTCCGTTTTTGGGATTAAAATGGAAGTAGTAGTGTTACTGCTAAGCAAAAAACGAACGGAAACAAATGTATTACTGGGAAAAATAAACTGCAGAATTTCATGGACTGGAAAGGGAAGCAGGTCTATTGCTGCAATTGTACCCTTTCCCTGATGTCGAATTAATGACAGATTCCCTTTGTTCGGATGGCTGACTGTAAAAGATTAAATACTTTTTTAAGACCTGTGTACCAGTAGTATGTTAAATTAGGCACCATCTTCTTGTGTTGTATAGGCTGGAATATGCTGGAAGCTTAATGATGATCAACTGTATTGGCTTGGCAACTTACATATGCTTTCTTCCCGTCCCAAAATAAGAGTAAGTTTTCTGAATTGCAACTCTATACGGTAATTATTTTGGGACGGAGAATATTTTTACTTTCAATTAATCCTATCTCTTCTATGCGGGTAGTTAAAAATGATATATAACGAAACAAGAAAGGAGGACTAAAATCAAGCCCAGGATGGTAATATTTAATTCCATCGACCCCTGAATTAATAAGACAAGTCTCTCTTTTAAAAGAGCAAGGACAACCCTTTAAAAAAAAAAAAAAAAAGAGCAAGACCGCATGGAAAAAAAGAATAAGAAGAAGAAGAAAGTATGGACATGATAAAAGATATTCCCTTTGTCCCAAAATTATTATCCAGTTTTAGATTTTATTTTTAGTACAATTTAAACTAAAAATGAAAACTCAAACTGGACAATAATTATGGGACGAAAGGAATATAAAATTAGACTGAAAATGGAACTCATCATATCTTTGTTAATTATATCGAAAGCTTTAAGAACCCTCTGGAATTTATTCTTTTCTTCTTCTTTTTTCACGAGGGTCAAACTTTCATTAGTCTTTCATTAATTCGTTTTCAATAAACTTGTTTGGTTATGGATGTTTTGGCTTTTCATCTTCTGGAAGTACCATTTACGTATCGTTTGCATTTCTTTCAATTTTGTTGTTGTTGGGAATCAAATGGTGGAAATAAGTTAAAGCAAGTGTTAATGTACGTAAAATCATAATTAGTCGGTGAATATCTAAGGGAGCAATGTTTTTCTTGATGATTTGGACAGGTTTTTTGAATTACTACTTACTACTACTCTTATTTTACATTTCTTCTAAGTTAGTTGGCCCCCATAGGAGAACGACCATAACTCGAAATTAAAGTCAAATTCAATAATGTCTGAAGCATTGAAAAGTTAATAGAATACCTAAAACTTTGATAAAGAACGCAAATTTATTAGTTCGAATATGCCAAAATGCATTCACAAGTGAGGTTTTTTTTTGGACTAAAATGTCCAAATGGTCCCTTACATTTGGGCCTACTTGAATTTACGTCCCTTACATTAACATTTCAATATCGTAGTCCCAAACATTATGTTTTCACACTTTTTTAGTCCTATTTCACTGTTTCCGGCCGTTGACATGCCAGAATCAGGGGTATTTTTGTCTTTTAATTTAATTTAAATTTTTATTAAAATTTAAATCATTAAAAATATTTTAAAATTCAAATTTCATTATTTAATTGTTAAAATATTATTTATTAATTAAAAAATATTATTGTATAAAATTTATCATTATTTTCAAAATTATTTTTTTTATTTATTATTTACTTTAAGTACACAGTAAATAGTAATTATGTTGCAGTTTTAATTTGAGCCCATTGTAACTTAAAAAATTAACCAAGTTACAATAAATAATTCAAAATTCAATTTATTTTTTTAAAAAAAAAGAAAAATAAAAAGCAAAACTAAGATTTTTTTTACTCTAACCGCTACAGTAAATATAAAATGGTAATTATGTTACACTTTTAACCTTGTACCCACTATAACTTAAAAAATATACTGAGTTACAGTAAATAATTCAAAAAAAAAATTTAAAAAAAAATAAAACCAAGATTTTTTTTACTTTGACCGCTACAATAAACCTTAAATGGTAATTATAATACACTCTTAACCTTGGACTCACTGCGACTTAAAAAATTTACTGAGTTACAGTAAATAATTCAAAATTTAATTTTTTTTTTTAAAAAAAAGGCAAAACCATGATTTTTTTTACTCTGACCGTTATAGTAAACTTTAAATGGTAATTATGTTGCATTTTTAATCTTGGACCCACTGTAACTTAAAAAATTTATCGAGTTACAGTAAATAATTCAAAATTTAATTTTTTTTTAAAAAAAAAAGAAAAAAGCAAAATAAAGTAATTGACCGCTACAGTAAACCCTTATGTTGCACTTTTAACCTTGGACCTAATGTAACTTAAAAATTTGCCGAGTTACAATAAATAATTCAAAATTCAACTGTAGCAGTCAAAGTAAAAAAAAAAAATCTTGGTTTTACTTTTTTTTTTTTAAAAAAAAAGAATTTTGAATTATACTGTAACTCGATAAATTTTTTAAGTTATAGTGGGTCTAAGGTTAAAAGTGCAACATAATTACCATTTAAGGTTTACTATAGCGGTCAGAGTAAAAAAAAATGGTTTGGCTTTTTCTTTTTTTAAAAAAAAGAAATTAAATTTTGAATTATTTACTGTAACTCGGTAAATTTTTTAAGTTACAGTGGGTCCAAGGTTAAAAGTGTAACATAATTACTATTTACTTTGACCTAAGATAAATGATAAGCGAAAAAATTAATTTTGAAAATAATATAAATTTTAAAATTTTATAATAATATTTTTAATTAATAAATAATATTTTAACAATTAAATAATGAAATCTGAATTTTGAAATATTTTTAATGATTTAAATTTTTATTATAATTTAAATTAAATTAAAAGACAAAAATACCCCTGATTTCGGCATGTCAACAGCCGGAAATAGTGAAATGGGACCAAAAAAGTGTGAAAACATAATGTTTGGGACTACGATATTGAAATGTTAATGTAAGGGACGTAAATTCACGTAGGCCCAAATGTAAGGGACCATTTGAACATTTTAGTCTTTTTTTTTTTTTTTTTTTTTTGAGAAAAAACACGAGTGAGGTTGATTAAGAGAAACAAGGCAATTTGCGTAATTTTTATTTTATTTTTTTTTATTGAAACTACATTATGTCAACTTGAATAATTTCAATTTCGGATTCTCAAAACATTTATCCGTGCTGTAATAAAAGTCATAATAATAAAACTCTTTTGATTTTAGAAAACAGAACCTATTTATTCATTCTCCCTTCAACCCCATTTGATCACTTGATCTATATCTACATGTTTATGATTTATACTTCCTAACCTCGTTTCAGAACCTTAATCTTAAACGCTTTTTTAAACAAAAACAAAGAAAAAAAAAAAACAGATTTCATATTGAAAGAATTCGATCATATGCACAAATTTTAGAGATTAATTATGGAGAGAAAGCTCGGAGATTCTTAATGAAGCACGTAGTCAGAGTTTTTTCATTTATCTTTCACATTCACATCTTTGAATCTTCCATTTCAAATTGAATTCAGAATCTTGGGTACATTCCTAGAGTCCTAGTAATCCGGCTGAGATTTTTTCTACATTGTTTGTGCTTAAGTTGATATATGATGTGAATATATCAAGTAAGCAGTCAGTAATGGTAAATGCACTCTGATGAACGAGTTAGAATATTAATTAGACAAGCAAAGAAGTTTAGTTACTCAAGAGAATGTTGCCACTTTGATGAGTCAATTTCATCTCTTTAGAAGGACTTCATCATAATAATAATATTATCCCAGAACTTTAGAAATTCTAGGCATTTTCTCCCCATTCTGAACTTATTTGCTGGGTTTCACTGTGCTCTTCACTGGGAGAACCGGCTTTGCTCTAGAGTTAGTGAACCTTAGCAAATTGATGTAGTTTATGGGTACATACTTAGATTTTGGATACCTATGTTTTAAGCACTAAACCTTATGGTTCTATCCTTCCTTCAGAAACAATGGACCAACTTGAACTCAAGAGTAATGAAATAAAAAACTATAATGCATTTCCTAGATTCATAAGTTTAAAGTTATAGCTAGCCAGAAGGGATTATAAGTTGATATTCATTTACAAAACTCCTCATTAGAAGAGCCTACGAAATTCGAAACACAAAGTATCATGATCTATGTCACTGGTCAAGAAACCATATCTTCAGAACACAATACATACAGTTAATTAAGTCTGTCTGATAGACATCTTTGGGAAAGGAAACCAATATCTCATAATTAAGAAGATGCAGCAAGATACAAATTCTATACAGGATATGGGGAGGAAAAAGGCAATTGTTGGCAAGCAATCTAGTACCTCAAAATTTCTAAACTTACAGCACTTCCTTACAGAGGAACTGTTTGTAAGCATTGGAGTTCCTGCAACTTCCGCAGATTGCGTGCTTTTATACCATTCCTGAATAGAGTGCTCCCTGAAGTACGTGTTTGGCTTTTGACAGAATTTTGTTCCTTCGGCTGCTCCACATTTTTCTTTTTCAAGTAATTTGAGGCCTGAACCTGAACTGTAATCTAACATCATAAGCAAAGGAGCCTACACTCTTTAACTATTTTCCTCAATTTCTACCTCTAAAGTTACAGATTTCAAAGTTCAGCAACAGCATAACGATGATGCATATATTGAAAGGTTTTGCTAACCAAACTAACATAGACATCTAAGAGATAACAATTTTCCATGTAACACATCATTGTCAGGCACATTGGTTAACAGTGTTATAGGAAATGTTGACTGCAAGCAGAATATGATGTCTGATGTCTGATGAGTCTAGACTCCATAACTAAGAATATGTTTATGTATTGCATAGAACTTTGTTCACATTATACTACCAACTAACGAATCCTAAAGAAAAATTTCGGATATCAGCACATCCTCATATCAATGTATCGTACTCCATCACGATGATGAGACAAGCTGCTAAGTTTGTTCATCTGTCATTTTATCTTATTTGTGGTACCTCTGTAATTAATTCATTAATCAACAGGTGACTCACTAAATTCAAATCATAATCTCATATAACCACATTGCAAATCCTTTGAGGTAACGGTATCTAAATTGGCAAAAAATGCAGCTGGTGTCATACCAGATTTTGAAGAAGCTAAGATCATAGAGTAGTCCTTCATCCTCTTGATTTTCTCAATAGTAGATTCATGGTGGAAATCCTCATATTCACTGTCCACCAAGTTGTTACCATGAATGCACAATAGCGCCTTGTCACATGCCTGATTCAAAAAAAAAAAAATTATGAATTAATGGCAGAAATTTACTCAAGAAAGCTTCTGGAAATCATAGACCTAAAAAGATAAATGAGGACTAATGTAAGAGAAAAGCAGAGTTCAAAACATGGTAATATCCAGCAATGTCATTAAGTAAATGCAAAAGTTTGCCAATCAACCTACTCTCAAATCAGAGAAAAATAACCATAACAACTCTAAAACTTACACACCAAATCGCATCAACACTACTCAAACTAAAACGAGCAAAACTGCGATCATGGTTCCTTGTTATCACGTGAAAAATGACTAGTATACCTTCGTTGCAACTGAATAGAAACCATTATCAAGGGACTGCTCAGCAAACGCCAGCCATTCGTCGACTGAAACTCCAAGACTCACATCATAAGAAGCATTTTCATCTCGCATTAAAAATGCTTCGTACCTCAGGGCTAACCAATTCTGTCCAATCTCAAGTTACAGAATGGCAGGGGAAACAGATCAAATTGCTACCGTGTAGGAACAGCATAACACCAAATCACAACATTAAATCAAATTTAAATTGCATATGTAAAAATTGTAGTTTACGGATAAATACGTTTAAATCACCTTAAACGCATCGCAGGAGAAAATTAAAGCAAAAAAATGTACCTCGACGTCACCGATGAGAGCAAAAGCACGAACGAAGAAATCAAAGATCAGCAGCTTATGATCAAAGGATTTCTCAGAAGTTTCTCGAATAATAGCAAGCGTTTCACGCCTCAAAAACTCTTTCAGAGCTGATCGGATTTCCGCCGCCGATTTCACGTCTTTGGAAGCCAGCGCCGCCTCCAGAATTGAGAAAGTCATGTCGCCGAATCTTCAACAAGAGGAAATTTGTTTGCGTTTCATTGCCACCGGAGAGAATTATGATACAATTGTAAAGAAATAAGTTGCGTAAACTTCGTAATCACCTTCGATTTTGAATTTGCGAACAGAAGAGGGAGATTTGCTGGGAGACTGAAATCGACATTTTTCTTCCCCTTTCTTTCTCCTCGCCGGCAGAGACTGAAGTTGCCGGTTGAGATTTTTGAATTGTGTGAGACCCAGGCCTGGGTTTTTATATGTTTGACGGGGTGAAATTAGATCCTGGGCCTCAGTAAATACGGGCTTCAAAATATCGGTCCATTTAGGGATTTTTTAGTTTAAGATGGAATTGATAATTTTTCATCATTATAATTCTCTTTTTTTCCTTTGTCTATAAAATTCAAACATATCATTCCCTATAATTTTTCTTATTAAATTTTTCATGTATATATCACCACTCCATTTACAATTACCACAAATTGTCACATTCCATCTTAATGTCTAATGTCTCACATTAAAACTATCAAATTTCAATATGAGATTTTGCAATTGTTTTATAATCAACACCACCATTTTATCATGCTCCTTTATGTTTATGGCAGTATAAGTATTGAAAGTTTCATCCAGTATTATAAAAGAACATAATTCGGAGTACTTTCTTTGTAGCTTTTTATTTCACATGTGATGACAGGAATAGACTTTTGTTCAGGGATGAAGCTCCCAAAGTCTTCTAGCAGAAGTTCAATTTTGCCTTAAAGATGAATTTGAATAAGATTAAGAAGATGAAGAACACAAGAAAGAACAAGCTATGGGCACGAGTGATGAATATCATCCTGACATTCTCTTCTTAAGATGACCTTGGTCAATAATATCTAGAATTAATTTTTGTATAGTCTATCATAATGTACATATTCTTTTTGTTGCTAATCATTTTGTATCTCTCCACTAGGAACTTTATTTCTTTTAAGGAGTTTGATCTTTGTAAAGTGTATTGCTATTAACTTTATTCAAACTGTGAAAACAACCTTTACTCAAAAAAAAAAACATAATTCAAAATCACATAATATGCATGCCTTAATTTATTTTGTTGATGTCTTTCAAGTTAAAGCACATGGAAACTTCTAACTCTACTCGTAACTCACGATTGATTCTAAAATCTTCTTCAGGATGATCGAATTTGATTTTCTTTTTCTTTTCGCATTTTATGGTACGTAAAAATTTCTATTTCCTTTAGCTATGAGTGTACAAAACTAATTTCATTCGTGTGTGTGGTGAAAAGATTAATAAATTTACAATTGATCATTGCCCCTCTCCCCCCTCTCTCTCTCTCCCAAACCCTAACTCCAAAAAAAAATTTCTTCCCCCATCTTTTCATTATGGGAGGATAGGAAATTAAACTTGTTTAATCGTTTTTCGTTTTGTTCTTTATCGTTTAATAAGTGAGTTTATTCTCACAAATTAGTTTCTTCAATAGATTATTTAGATTATCTTTTGAGAGGGTAGGGTTTTTTTGTTCGCAGTATTTCTTCAGTAGATTACTCTACTGAAAGGTAGATCTGTTGTGCAGTGTTCATAATGGCGTTGAATATGTTCGCGACGTTATATATGCCCCACGAAGAATCAGTCACCACATATCTGATATTTACATATGTGGTTTGGAGTTTTCAACATAATTTTAGAGATATATTCGAGATCATATTCATATTCTGGTACGTGATATGTCCATCAATTATATGGATAGATCTGTATAGGTAAACACAACAAAGTAATCCATTGTAAGTTGTGTTTGACTATTTTTGTATCAATCAATTGCAGTTGGATGATTTCCAGTAAATGAATGAAAGTACTATTTTATAAAATAAAAAATAAAAATTTACAATTGATCATTTAAAAAGAACCTTAGGAAAGAATGAAATGTGACCCTAAAATTTGAGAAGTAGTGAAATACTGAACTACAGAAAATGTAAAATTTGGCAATTTATCAAAAATTAATTAAAAATTTTAGATTTATTATTAGGCTCGCTCTACCAATTCCGGTTCCTTTTTATTGAACTGTAAAACCACGCCTTTTAATGCTACCTTCCTCCAAGTTGCATAAAACCAGTGAGTCAATGAACAGAATTGACGAGCCCCGGCGACGGACGGAGCAGCTCTGACTCGGTGGCGATGGCGGGACGAAACCATCCCTATTCAAGAACATTGAATTCTCGTCCGTCAAACATCGTTGACACCCACCGACTCATCCACAGCCATCGCCAACCTCAGGCCAACCCTGCCGCAGTAATTGAGGCCCAACAACGTGAGATCCAAATCCTTCTCCGCGACAACCAGCGCTTGGCCGCCAACCACGTCGTACTCAATCAAGAGCTAGCCGCCGCCGATCAGGAGCTGCGCCACCTATCTTCCACGGCGGCAAAAGTAAAGGCGGATTGCGATGCTCGGGTGCGCGAGGTCTACGAGAGTTCCCTTAAGACAGAGGCTGAGCTCCGGTCACTTGACGCCATGAGTGTTGAATTGGTTCAGGTGAAGTCCGATATTGAGAACATGACGGTCGAAACTAAAGAATTGACCGCAAAATTGCGTGAGATAAACGAGGCGCTCGCCTCGTCTGCCCCTCAGTTGGAGGGATTTCCTGGCATCGAAGAGGAGCTACAGACCATGCGCCAGGAAATTAAGAGAGGAAGGTACATAACTTTTAATTCTGTTCATCTTCAGTGGCACTCTCAGTATTTGTTGAATGCTGTGTTGATAAAGCTATTTTACATAATTTAATTAAAAGTTTGGTTAACAGGACAAATAAAAAGTGTATTCAGAGGTAAAATTTTAGCATGTTATTTACAACTAGAAATGGTCCTTACCATCAATTGAGTTAGAAAATTTTCCTGAAAATCATAAGATTGTAGCTGGAAAGTGCATTGACAATTGGTAACGCTAAAATGGGATGTTCGTAGGCAAGTAAGAATACATTGAGGATAAAATGATCGAAGCATTATGTTTCTGGTGCCTATATAGGACTTCTCTATATTTGCAAGAAGGAAATTTGTTGCAATGACTTGACATGGAACATCTTTAGACAGTAAGGTATGCGTCTGCAGTGAACCATCAGTGTAAACAAATGTGAATATAGTTTGAACTTCAAAGAAGATGTTAGAGGCTATATTTTTTCAAAATAAACCACAGATCATAAAAAATGTGGCATTGTCAAAGGGTCTTTTTCTTGACAAATACAAGTTCCCCCTCCTCTCCCCCGTTTTTCTCTCTGCTTTGATGTGATTGACTTTATCTTTGTATCAAATTTTAGAAAGAAGTCTCCGTTTCTTTTTTATGGATTTCAATACGACCGTTTAACTCCATTAGGGGTGCGGAGATGTTAGGATTTTAGACCATCTTTATTTCAGGAACCTCAGGTTGACTGACAAACTGACAGGCAAGAATGTATATGAAGGGGAAAAGAGATATTTGATAGATGGTTTGTGGAGTTAAATAGCAATGGAAAGCTAATGGAAAATTGGAAAAAATTTGAGAAGCAGCACAAGTAGCAAATTAAAAATTGCTAGACCATGCTATCATGTGTAGCATGTTAGCTTATGACATGAACAATATAGAAGATTGATTCAAATCACACCACAGAAAAGATTTATTTGGCTATACTTACCATAGATATCGGAGTTTCTTACTTATTCATCTTTTTTGTGAGTTTATCTTATTGTGGGATAACATTGCTTTTCACCCTTTAACTGACGTCCTCGGGTTTGGTTACATGAAAAGAGCTGCGATTGAGTACGAGAAGAAGATGCATGCCAGCAACCTTGAACAGAGCGAAGTACTGGATAAGAATGTCGTATCTATGGCCCGTGAAATTGAGAAATTACGCGCGGAGCTTGCTGATGCTGAGAAGAGAGCAAAGGCAGCAGCATCTGCTGCTGCTGTTCCTGCTCCTCCTGGTATTTGTGGATTGAGATGTGGAGTTTTTAAACCATTATTGTCTTTTCAATTAACTGACTATGATTATCTCTGCGTATGCTCTTACGAAGTTCTGCAAATTCCTTTCAAGGTACCGGGTATCCCCCTGTATTTCCAATGGCTGAGGCTGCATATGGTGGCAACTATTATGCTGAGCATTACTCCTTGCAGCAGGTTTGTTTATTAGGTTATGTTTCTTAAAATTGAAGGAACTATAAGTGGTTTTGATCTTCTTGGTATGTTCTACTCCATCTATCCGAGAAAAGGAGATTGTATATGTCCTTCTCATAGTAAATGGGAAGACAAGAAAGTAATCCTCTATTAAGAACACTTGGTCCATTGATACAAGATTGCTTATGAAACTTCTTTAGTATCCTTCAAAGTGATTACACAAACTTGACCTCTGATGCTAATTTTGATGCTACTTAGTCTGTATTTTTATGTATTTTCTTGTTACAAGGTGGCGTTTTACTTAGCCTAGGATCTCACATTAAAACACTTATCTTAGTCTGTATTTCTTGCTGGTTATTTGGTTAACACCTGCCTCTGCTTTCTGCTGTTGATTCGATTACGAGTGAGCCAATCCTGCTTCAAGCCATCCATTGTGTTTCAATTTCTGGAAGATACTTTTATGTCGGATCCATCTGTTTTGTTGCTCAACATTCTCACATTTTATACATGGTTGCTATTTTCTTGCCTTTAATGTGGACTTTTGGAACGCCCGATTTTAATGAGATGAACTGTCTAATTTGCTCCAGGTTCAGGCTCATGGTGCCAGTTATTACGGTCATGGAGGAGTGCCTCATGTTCCAGCTACACCTTATGACTTGCAGCAATCCAATGTACTCAGATAACCTTTTTGTAGAGGGATTCAAGCAGGCACTTGATTAAAATTTTCAGTAACCTAGGGAACTGAAGGTCAGACTTAAAATATATCTATTAGATGATATTGCTTGATCCATAGAAGGAATCTATGATTTGAAAAAACGCAAAAGAGGCATCCGGAGATTCCAAATCGAAGTTGCGAATTCACTGGTAACATCTTTTGTCCTTGTACATATCTCTCGATCACCGCCTTTAGTGCTCAAGATTGAAGATAATTAGGATTTAGGAAACATTTGTGCCTCTCGGCTGAAATAGGAGATACTGTCCTTGAAACATTTAGAAATAGTGGGAAGATTATTCTTTAGTCTTGCTATTTATCCCACCTAGCGATTTTTCTGGTCCACATTGGAACGTAGGTTTAAAGAAGGGAAAGAGAGAATGCTTCCAAATGGCATACATCATACTCCTTCCATCCCAAATTATTGTCCAATTTGAGATTTTACTTTTAAAATAATTTGAACTAAAAATGAAAATTCAAACTAGACAACAAAGGAAGGACTAATAAATGAGCTTAGAACCATTTCCTATCCCCACCAAATAATGAGTAATAATAAAAGCAATAACAATAAAACTTTTACTATTACTATTATCCTGATTTTGCATAGGAGTGATTATACATAAGAAATTCTGTGCCAAATTATAGTGTAGAATTTCTACATACTAATCTTTTTTTTTAAATAGTGGTATCTACACTTCTCTTTCTAGAATAAACAGTGGAGTCGCGTGAAAATTAATAACGGGCAAATCTTAGATGATTCATTTGGGCAGAACTTAGATGATTAATTTTGTGCAATCTACGTTTTGTTGACATATCAATCACAGAGTCATTGTGGCATTCATTAGCTATTTGTGATTATCACTCTCATTCATTGGACATTGCCGATAAATCAGAGTTAGGACATTGGGAGCACAACAATGGAACGGTAAATAAATTGGATCTCATTTCCTATCCAATACAGAGATCGGTTCAACTACATACAAAAGCTTAACGGAAACTAGGGCGGGAAAAAAATAAAAAATAAAATAAAATAAAAACCCAAAAAATTAAAGACAATCTGTTCTAGAGCAGACAGAAGCAATCAGGTGAAGAAATTCCAAAACGACTCTCTACCTACAAGCTGCAGGGAAATGGCAGCGAAGAGCAGCTTTCAGACTCATTTTATGTAGGAAAACATTTCTCAGGCAGTTTGAGGGTCCCTAGAGGTTCACAAGATCCAGAAAAGCATCCTCTAATGGCCAGAGTCTTCAAGTTGCAGTTCCATGGGCGCGTAATCAGTTTTTATCAAACCATTACGATACCATAAACCAATTACATAAAATAATTCCCCAACTAATAAGAAATTATAAAGATTTAAACAGGAAACCACAAGTTAAAGATCTTGGCATCCATTTTCGTAAAATCCCATAAGAAAAGAGAAATAGGTCTTGTCCACCTCTATTATTGGTATTCGGCATTTGAGAACCATGACAAATCTTTGAAGGAATTATAGTTCTGCATATCTAGCTCAGTTTTGGGTGAACCAAGCGTTGAAGGTAAAATTTGGGAAATTTCCATTATCAAAAGTAAAACTACATTTTAGAGTTAGAATCCTATCCAATTGAGGCTATGCTAATCATATGCTATAAAAAAAAAGCCCTAAAAATGTCTGCGACATCAAATACTAGCTAATCCCAAAACAGTGGCACTAGGGAATACCATCAACGTGGTAAAGAGAAAGAACTACAACAAATGTAAACAGGGACGGCCTAAAAAAAATCCAATCAGAAGCACCATTCACTAGGGTCAACGTAACAGAAGTACGCAACTAGTGACAAGCAACACTCACCTGAAAATTTTCAACCTAGCATAGCAGCAATTTGGAGAATATCCCCTTGGCTCTATAAAAACATTCACACAGTTCAAATTAATCCGTAATCTGAAATAGAAGAGAAAACTCACCAACTAGAAGACAAAACATAGAGGAAACAGGTATTGCTCGAAGCAAGTGGACAACCTACCTTTTTATCTCCAATTAGAGAACAAAGCTGCAAATGGAATACAATAAAAACCCCTCCCATCATAATTTTAGTACAAATATGCTCGCATGAGCTTTAGTATGGTCGTGAACGGTTTCCACCATGGTAATTTCTATCTGGACCTCCACCATCCCTGTAGTTGTCTCTACGTCTATCCCCTCCATAACCGCCTCTACCACCTCCACTGTAGAATAACAAGCAGATAATCAACATATTGGAACCGCAAACATCAAGTAAGCAGAATTGTCTAGTTATGATCTTTAACTATAATGACACGAAATTCTATATTCTAATAAGCATTCACAATCACATAAGGATATCGCGAATGATATTGAACAAACAGAAAATTAATCAGCAATATGCAATGATCAAGATTGAGTTTCAAGCGACTAAACAAGTAGCCGAAAATACTGAGAAGTACATCAAAGATGGTGGAAGTAACCATTTGTACGAAAGGAAAAGTATGATAGAAAACATAGGAAAAAGAACGGCAAAACGGCATAGAGGTGATGACCCTACTATAGAGCTGAAAAAGACAACACAATATTCAAAGAAAAAAGGGCAATGAGAGCAGAGGCAAGGCAACAAGAACGCATTAAGAACAGCTAGAAACTTAGACATATGCAATAACCGCTTGATAAACAAACCAAGAAACAGCATTCTGCAGCCAGCATACAAGTTGAAGATATATTCAAGTTCACTATGTGGTTGCTCAGCCTTTGGTGAGAGATGTCAAAGTTAAAGGAACTACTCAATTACAACACAGCCAAGTAACAAATGAGACTGATGATTAAATTAGAAGAATAGGAGGCACAAGCCTTCAAACTGAAGGGTATAGGACAGAGACATCAATCATTTCTCCCTAGATAGATAGCACACATAAAACTCACATTAATTAACCACGTTAGAGATAGTAAAATTACCCAGATCCATATGAAGGGGCAGCTTTTGGTGCAGATTTCTCCGCCATGGCGACACTGATTTTGTGACCTCTAAGCTCATGATCTAAAAAGAAAATTGAAGATACTCGATCAGCTATCTAATAAGTTAATTATGAGTTAAAAAGACAATTTAAGTTTGAATGGGTGGTATACTATTAAAAAAACCCCCAGCCGAATGTGCCGCAGAAGGATCTTCGTAAGACAAGACTGCATCTCCTTTGTTATTTCCTTGGTCATCAGTGTATAGCTTTATACTCCAGGGCCACTGGTCCTTGTACCCTCTCTTTTGTTTGATCCTTGCAACCTGGAGCACAAAAGGGAAAACATTAATCATCAATTTACTTTAAGAAAGCCATCATACGAATTGCAGCTTTCTGCTCTAATCATGTCTTGATCAACTAGGTACTATTAAGTACTATTTCAAAAATTGGTGTTAGAAGTGCACGATCAGCTAGTCCAGAGATTACCGACATTCAGAATCTATTAGAAAATATACACCAGGCAGTATAATATAGAATAACACTAATTCACAAGAGCAATTTGGCAAGCCCACAAATTTCGAAGCCTAAAATGACAAGCTGAAGATAAAAAAACGCAAAAAACGCATATTACTTGTCCAATGCTTCCAAACAGTTCCCTTAGTTCTTCAATGGTCACATCTGGAGGCAAATTTGAAATGTAAATCCTTGAGTTGTCACATGTATCCCCACAATTTTCATCACACTGCTTGACTTTAACAGGTTCTTCAGCTGGACCGCCATATCCACCTCCTGAGTTTCTTGGACCGCCTCCATAGCCTCCATCTTGGTTACCTCGTCCACCGCCACGTGCCGCAGATTGTGCATCAGAACGATAATTGGTTGGAGCACCATAAGATGGATACGAAGCAGGCCCACCAGTGTAGCTTGTAGGGGGAGGCACGGCTTCAGTTGCATAATTAGGGTTCCCACCATAAGTGCTAGGGGGTGGTGGATAGTTTCCTCCTGGTCCACCACCATAAGGAGCAACAGGATTACCCTGACCATAACCGCCATCATCTCTTCCTTGACTATAACCACCCCCCCTATTGCCCCCACTTCTTCCCCCTCGACTATTGCCATATCCCCCGTCATTGTCCCCTCTACTATAATTACCACCACCTCTCTCACCTCGGTCGCCAGTACCAGAAGGAGGGAGTGCACCACATTTGTTACACTTATCTCTTCTAGCAAAGTTTAAATTCCCACAACTACAAACACACGTACCAAAATCAATGACAATCAACAAGGTAAACATTGCGTAAAAAGTATCACCCTTCCCACTATTCTTTAAAGTAAAGTTGCTAGCTTTAGAAAACTTGAGAACATCAATAGAAGATATGCATCCAAGAAAAAAAAAAGAAAAAAAAGAAAAAAAAGAATGAACTATCTCTGCTCAACCAAGTGACACTAAGAACAAATCCTACTCAGCAACAAAAACGGTGAGGAAAGAAAAACCCAGAAATCCAAAGGAAAAAAAAATGTTACCTTGGATTAGGGCACCGCCAATCTCCTTCCCTGCCACTTCCTCCACCACGGCCACCTCCTCCACCACGGCCACCACGATCTCCTTGGTATCCACCACGGCGATCGCCTCCTTGATATCCACCTCCACTCCCTAAAACACAGAACGCCGAAATCGATATACAATATTCAAGATATAGAACTTATCCAATGAGTTGCAAAATTAAATTTAAATATTTCAGACTTGTCGGAAATTACAAGTAAGTCTAGCAAGTCACAATTACCTCGAGAGTTGTTACCGTAACCTCCGCCATCACCGCCAGTTCCTCTGCCTCCGCCTCCACTTCCATCTCGGCCACCGCTACCACCATAGCCCCCACCTCCACCACCTCCATAACCCCCGCCGCCTCCGCCGCCATAACCCCCATCGCCACCGCCATATCCCCCGCTGCCCCCAGAAGCTCCGCCTCCACCTCGGCCGCCGCTGCCACCGTAACCGCCGCCGCCGGCACCACCTCCGTAACCACCATCGGCACCTCCGTATCCCCCGCTGCCTCCGGAAGCTCCGTATCCACCTCCTCCAGAGTCACCGTAGCCTCCGCCATATCCACCTCCATAAGCTCCAGCGCCGTTACCTCCATAGCCGCCGCCACCAACAGGCGGTTGACCAGATCCGTCACCTTCTTGACCGTACATAATTATCTTTCAGTTCGGACTTGTGTGATTCGGAGACTAACTCGAACGATCTTGAAAAAAGAGTGAGGAGAGAGAAGTTTTGGATTAGGGCATGTTCGCGAGTTTATATACAAAACGGCTTTAAGGAGGGATTATTCTTCTTCCTTTTTTTCTTTTCCTTTTCTTTTTCAGTTATTATCACTAATAATCCTAAATTAATTTAACCGTCCTCATGATATTTGTCACTTGACAGGTCACCTGCAAGTTAAAACTGATTCAAGATTATATGGAAGGGAGAATGGGCCTTTTCACAAGGTTTGAGCTACACTATCTAAAATATCTCAAAGTTTAAAAGTATACTATTTTCATTCTAAACTTTTCAAAGATATGTAATATTAGGACATTTGTTAATTTTTTCAAAGTTATTAACGGCGATATTTCATTCAGTTTTTTTTCTCCCATTTTTTTTAGTCAAAAAAGTTTTATAGTTGCGTTTGGTAAATTTGGTCCATGTCAAGCAAAAAAGTTGCATGCCCCTGCATTAATCACAACACCAATTTTTATAATGATGCTACATATTTAAAAAAAATAAATGAAATAGGGCTTACTTTCTAATAGGACACACACAAAACCTCTCATGATTGTTATCAATCTAAAAGGTGAATATTGGATTTTTTTTTCTTTTTCTAAGCAAGGGAAGAATGAATGATGCGAAGACCAGATTAGGTTTAGCTATTTTCTTATAAGGTGAGAGTTAGTGGAACTTGTTAAATGATTAAAAAAATTGGGGGAGGAGAAACAGAATAAAGTACCACCACTAATTAATTAATTGGAGTTAAAAATTTAACGAATATCCTAATGTAATATGTTTTTAAAAAGTTTGGGATGTTAATGACATGTTCTTAAACTTTGGAATGTTTTAGATGGTGTGACCCAAATTTTGGGATGAAAAGACCCATTTAGTCTTATATGGAATCCGTGATAATCATTTTTAATATGTAAAAATAATTAGTACTCACTCTATCCTAATTTTAAATTTTACTTTTAATACTTAAACAATTATTTTAAGACGGAAGGATATATTATAATGCATAAGCGACGACCTACTTTTGTTATAAAATAAAGTGTGTTGATGAATATTTTGGTAGGGGCTATGGCCGTAATGGTAGAAAATTTCCACATACATACATGCACACATACAAAAGCAATTAGTAGCTTGCATTTCCATTAGTTGAATGAAAGAATACAGATTTTTTTTTTTAAAAAAAAAAACTCAATATCAAGAATATATAAAATATTTATGGTTGTGAAACAACACAAATCACTAATTATAACATATCACTGAACCATCAATCTTGTTATAACAACAGTAGCCCATTTGATCTCATGTTTGATTCTTAATATTGTGATCAAAATTTACCGCTTCATTTTAATAGGGTTTTCAAAAAAATGAAAACATTGTTAGTGAGTTAATAACATTCATATGAATTGCTTAAGACCGTCAGAAGCTTCTAGCTTCTATAACGGAAAAAAATACAAGAGGATTAGAGGTCATTTGCGTGAGTAGTGACCGAAGACCGAAGTGCGAATGAATAAAAAAAAAAAGACAAGATTGACAATGATGCAATAGAGAAGGGGAATAATAAATCCAGTTGAAGTGGATCACAGGTTTTCTCTAAACCTTTCCGGCGATACTATCACCGCCGTACCAAAACCCCTTTTCGTTAATTCTCCAACTGCTTTTCTTGTCCACACCAACTACGTTATTGATACTCAGACAGTATCACACACATCACCATCAATAATTCTTTCGTGCCCGATCCAGAACACACAGATTCACATAACAAAAAGAAAAGAATTGTGCTGATAGCAAAACAATACACACGGCGGAAATCGTTGTTCCAGAAAGACGTTTACTACCTTCCATTCCCTTCCCTCCACTTACTGCATACTCTTTCATTCACTGAACACATAGGAATCACCACCATCACCATTACAAATTCCCTTGGATACTGTCACCTTGATTTCCTTGCAATCACACCAACAGAACTTGGGACACTAAAATACGGCACCAAGTTCAGAAGACAATCATTACTAAAAGCGCCACTTTCCACTCTACACTCTGCACCCTGTCCTGCTGCATCCCCAGCCGAATTTTAAACTACAACACTTTACCAAGGTTTTATCCTTCGCCGTTTCTCCCAAGGAACAGCAACCTGTTTTTTTGAAAATACAGAGAGAGTTTTGTTGTTGCTCTTCTTTTAATAATAGCCCTCTCCCTCTCCTCAGACACCCTACTCCCTCTACCAACCTCCCACTCTTAACATTCACCGCCCTACTCCCCAATAATCAAAATTGAGTACTCCATTAGTTACCCCTCCATCCATCCATTACATCACTCTCACTTGCATGCGGCCTTTCAGGCTACTAAATTCCCCATAAAAACAAACCTCAGGTTCATTAACTCCATCCCACCTCCTCCAATTATCTCATTTACTGTTTCTCTCCACATCCACTAACCGTTCCTCTCATAACTCCTGAAGACCTTCTCTACACCCACAATTATCTTTTACTCCTCTTGGCACATTTATAACCTTCCCGACAATTCTATTTACTCCAATGTCTCACCGTTCTCTCGAAGAAGACTTATCCACAGATGACTGGGGTTCCCTTCCAGGGGACCACATGGATACAGGAGAATATATAGATCCTTATTATTCATTCCACAGAAGCACATTCGTTCAAAATGCATCCCGCTGACTCCGCCTTTGGACTTACTCGATACCAACATTGCTTAATTGGTTTCCTGCTGGATGACAGATCTTTCAGTCTCGATTACATGCAACAATATATTCGTACCCACTGGGGACTACCAGCTCGAGTTATCCACCGGGATCGCAACTGTTTTTACATCAAATTAGATTCGGCGGAGCACTGTGCCATTGTACTTTATAATGGGCCATACGCTATTGACGGAGCCCTTTTTGTGGTTGGCAGATGGCAGACAAACTTCACTCCCGACTATGTCCGGCTCCAACGAATTCTTATATGGATTCGCCTCTATGGCCTACCAGTGGAATTCTTATCCCAGCAGACTGCAAGACGCATTGCCTCAGCTATAGGGGAGGTACAAGAGGTTCGTACGGGTTACATAGATACAAGACACACTACGTTCCTAAGATCCAGGGTGTGGATTCGCCCAGCAGACCCACTCAGCACCGGTACTCATGCCGGTCTAACAGATGGGCGCACAGTTTGGCTCAAATGTAAGTACGAACGAATATTTACCTATTGCCAGAGATGTGGCACTATTGGCCATGAGACTCCTCAATGCCCTATCAGCAACAATTTTCGTCTGGAATTACAGCTAGAAGAGAGCTTCCAGGAAATGAGCAATGCCCGAAACCTCCCTTTGATCTATGATCAATCGCGGCCATTATTCCCGGACGACTTGGCAGCATTCAAGGATCAACCAGAAAGAATGAACACTACCATCCCTTCTCGGTATGTTCGTGAAAACTCTCAATCATTTCGTGATCCCCAACCAGGTTTCTATCCAAATGGGTACTCCTATACGCAAACGGGGGTTACCACGATTTCCACTAGACACCCGGCCGTAATTTTCCAAGAAGAAGTGGCGCGTCAAGCATCTTTAGTACCAGCAATCGATAATCAGACCCAGCTCGATTTTGAGGCTGACGATAACTGGTCCCTCCCAGAAGGCTTCATCATACCAGAAGATCCCAATGAGATGCCTACTAACAGAGCTCAAGCAGATGCCATGACACAAACTCCACATCCCAGAACAGACCACGATGCAGGAGAAGGCCCTTCCAATCTAGGTCCGCAAAATATTCATGTTAGGCATGTGATTGAAGAGGGTGAAATTGTGGAGCACCAATACGTCCGAATTGGCGAATACAACGTGCCTCTGCTGCAATATGGAGAGCAAAGGACAGCCAATACACCTCAGCCGCCGCCCCAACAACCACCGCCGGAGGGGGGTTTCCCATTTGCCGCAGAATTTACGGTCACCGTCGATTCAGAAATTCCAAGGGATCAACAAGTGGCAATAGACCCAATGCCACGTGCCAGCTACATTACGTGGCAACCCGCATGTCCAGATGAGCTGACCCATAATTACCGTAATGCCATTCAGGTTCGTGACCCCACTAATACCCATACACTATTACAACTTCCTTTGGGTACTATTGCCTACAGTAAATCCGGAAACCCAATTGCAGCCATTGAAATGGGCCCTGTAGAACTTAGCCAAACAAATGACGTAGTGTTGGTTTTCTCGGATCATAACTCCGAGGAAGTCCAGCAATGGCTTATCATGAATCCATGGGCCAAACCTAATGTTCTTACTCAACCCACTACCAGCCTAGACTCCAATGCTCACATTAGCACGAATCCAACTTCTCACCACGGACCTGTCTGGCCCTCCGATCTGCCCTACATATAAATTCCAAACCAATCTCAGCCCAATAGATGAAGAAAATGAAATAATTGAGCCTACTACTGATCTCTCATGCACATTAGCCGACAGACGACATCAAATCCGTGACGGGAAACGTAAATTGGGTGAATCGTCGGGCACACATGCCTCATCACCCGACGATGTCGATGAACTCTCCTCGTCTGCCAGGCAGTACTCACCACCGCCGCCAGTCCCTGAGGTTATGGAACCTCCACCACAATCACAACCACCTCCCATTGCTGACACAAATACCGCAATGGACTGGGCACTACAGGAGGCAGGCATCACCTCAGAGGTGGGAAAAGCAACGGCAAAACGTAAAATAGAACAGTTTTTGGAAATCACGATGCTTCAGCGACGCCGTCTTGCCACCACAGATCTAGAACATGCCAGTGCCATGGTGACTAATATTTCAGTTGTTCAGGAGCCAGAGGAACCAGACTCCCCTACACGGGAAGCAACATTTCTAGCGATGCAATATAATGATATTGTCAACCTACTCGCAGAAGGAATTCATCAATTGCCGGATCTAAACCCCAGAATCGGCAAAAGAAATACAGGAGAAAGCATCTCCAATGGTAATAACGATGATGATACACGGGTTTTGCCGACGGTTGCCCCACAACAACCGTCGCAGACGCCATGAGACTCCTATCGTGGAACTGCAGAGGCCTAGCCAAGACCTCTGCCATTCAGCTTCTACGGAAACTGCAGAAATCAGGTAAGCCAGAAATTATCTTTCTAATGGAAACTAAAGTAGATGACTCTAGACTCCGTAAATTACAACAATCTTTTGGTTTTGCAAGTTGTTTTACCCAGACCCCAGTGGGAAATGCTGGTGGTCTTGCCTTGTTTTGGATGAATAGCATCAATCTGGTAGTTAAATATAGTTGTGAAAACTTTATTTTAGTAGTCGATAGGGCAACAGTATGGTATTGCGTTTTTCTGTATGGCAGTCCTTATCATCATAAAAGGGCTGCAGTTTGGTCTTTGCTTACTAGTATGGTAAGTCCTCTTTTGTACCCGGTTGTTATCCTGGGAGACTACAACCAAATTATCACCCCACAAGACAAATCCGGAGGTCGAAATGTGACCAACATCCCCTCACCCGCCCTAACAAGAATGATCGCCCAATTAGACCTTACCGAAATTGCACATCAAGGCCCATGGTTCACTTGGTCGAATAAACGCAAAGGTTCCACCTGAATTTATGAACGCCTCGATCGGGGTCTCGCCAACTCAATGTGGCATAACCACTTCGTCGACGCACACATTCAACACTTTCCGATAATGATTTCCGATCATGGCCCAATGCTTTTGGACACTAATAAATGTTCTGGCCGTCGCTCCAAAGCACCACTGAGATTTGAATCCTTCTGGTCTAAATTAGATGCTAGTCAACAGATCATACAGAGAATATGGCATTTAAACTCGTCTACTAGTGATTCCACTGCTTCAACCACTCTCTCTCAAAATCTCAATACAAGCTTGATCCACCTTCACAATTGGAGCCGACAATCTTATGGTTATCTACCTCACAAAATCAAGCAAACAATGCAGACACTCGCATCTCTTTCCTCTAACCAACAGGCCCTTACCCATCAACGTCACTTAGATGCCAAAGAACGAGAATTGGAGGATCTCCTAGACATGGAACACCTTTACTGGCAGCAACGATCTAAATGCCTATGGAATGTACATGGTGAAAGAAATACGACCTTTTTTCACAAATGGGCTACTATACGCAAGGGAAGCAATTATATTCAGGGAATCCAAAATGCTCATGGTAACTGGACATTTGATCAACATGAAATACAACAGGCAATACTGAATCATTACTAATGCCTCCACTGTAACATTGACCCTTATTCTAGTGATCGGCCTGAGATATTCACTTTTGAGGGACTGATTAATCGTATCACGTTGACATTAACTGAAGAACAAATAACAGCATTGCAAGAACCATTCGCCGATGAAGAAATCAAACAAGCAATCTGGCATATGGCTCCGTGGAAATCCCCCGGACCAGACGGTGTCCCTGCAGGCTTTTATCAACGATACTGGCATATAATCGGCAATACAGTAACTGAAGCAGTTTTAGAATTTTTCAATTCCGGCACAATGCCAGAAGGCTGGAACGATACCACAATCATTCTCATTCCAAAAAAACCTTCCCCAGAATCACCAAGCGACTACCGTCCTATCAGCCTTAGTAATGTAAAATACAAAATTATCGCAAAAATTTTAGCCAACAGACTCAAAAAGGTCATCCACTCGATAGTCGATGAAGAGCAAAATGGCTTCATACCTGGAAGACACATCAGTGAAAATATCATTCTTACCTACGAGCTGATACACCATATCAGCCATTATAATGTTAAGAAGAAGGCTTAGCAGCAATCAAGATCGATATGAACAAGGCTTTTGATCGAGTATCCTGGTCATTTTTACGAGCCGTTTTACAAAAAGTGAACTTCCCTTCCAATTGGATACAATGGATCATGCAATGTTTATCTACTGTGCGTTACTCCATATCGGTGAATGGTTAGATGTCTCCTTCCTTCATACCGGTCAAAGGAGTCAGACAGGGCTGCCCCCTATCTCTTTTTCTTTTCCTCATTAATCAACAGGCTTTTTCCTCTGTCCTCAATTACCAGGAAATCAGAACACCTATAGGCATTCAATTATCCAGCCATGCTCCCCGAATCTCACATCTTATGTATGCAGACGACACCATTATTTTCACCGAGTGTTCACACCAACAGATTACCGATTTAGCCAACAAAATCTCCAGTTTTGCTAAATGGTCAGGCCAAAGGATTAATTTTCATAAATCCAGCATCTTCCTCAGTCCAAAAATGAATGACATTGATGCTTTATGGGTTAAAATCACCTTAAACATCCATCGGCCTCTTATGGCAGACACATATCTCGGAGTTCTCCTTACAGTTGAAAGATCCAAACAGCGCACATTCGCATCTACCATTTCCAGACTAACCAGGAAAATTTTGAATTGGAAAACCACATGTCTATCTCCACAGGGTCGTATCACTTTAGCAAGATCTGTACTATCATCATCCACCCTTTATATAATGAGTGTCCTTCGACTTCCGAAAACAACGGCACAACGGATTGATCTAATACTTCGCAACTTTATCTGGGCCAAATCAAATGAAAAAAAAGGGATTCACTGGGTAGCATGGGATAAGGTCTGTTCGTCTAAATTAAAAGGGGGTCTTGGTATGCGGAAAACAGAGGAGATGAACCAGGCCCTTCTTGCAAAGTTAGCTTGGAAGATCATCAAATATCCCAACTCTCTGTTAGCGCGAACTTTGACGGCAAAGTATTGTCAAAATTCTGACTTTCTGACTACCAGAGACACAAGAAATGCCTCCTGGGGATGGAGAAGCATTCTTTGGGGAAAAGAACTGCTTCAAACTGGGCTAAAATGGAACATCCGTAATGGAACTGATGTTCAAATTCAGGAAAACTGGATTCCGGGATTGATGAATCCTCTCACGCTCCTCCCATCACCGAACCCCATGCATCTATATGTGTGCCATTTTATTGACGAAAATCGAAAATGGAAATTAGATCTTCTGCGCTTATTTTTTTCGGAAGACCAAATTCGACGAATTCTCACAATCCATCTCCCAGAAACAAATCGAGCAATCAAAGACGAGCTTCTATGGACACATGAGAGTCATGGTCAGTACTCTGTCAAATCTAGCTACCATCGGGCACTTGCTATCGCTAGGACTTCTCTACCTTCAACATCCACTCATCATTCAACAACAACTTTTCCTGATATAGTTTGGAAAAAGCTTTGGACTCTAAAATTGCCGACCAAAATACAACATTTTATATGGAAGATACTTAATAATAGATGTGCATCGGCGGAACAATTACAAAAACGGGGAATTTCGGTCTCCTTGACATGCCTTGCTTGCAATAAAAGGGCGGAAACTACTACACACGTTTTTTTAGAATGTGACATAGCACGACGAGTGTGGTTTTTGTCTCGGTTTGGTTTCAATTTTGAGGAAGGTGTTCCGCAACCCGTTCACCAATTGCTTGCAAATTGGATGGCTACTGCACCTGATCGAGAACTTTTAGAAGAATCTTTGATCCTACTTTGGTACATCTGGAAAAGTTGAAACAGATTATATTGGGAGCATAACAGTTCTACCCCGGAAGAAATACTAAATAATGCGACTTTTGAATATCAATCCATCAAAAGGAACTGGACTTCCATGTACTCCTCTGTGACTCTATCACGGGACACGCAACCACCCACACTTGGTAATGACGGGCCCCTCGCAGTGATCTTTGATGGCGCTTTTAACAAAGAAACGCTAGATTCAGCTGGAGCTTGGACTATCCTCTCACCGGTTAGTGCTTTCCCGATAATACACACCAAAAGATTCAAAGCACTATCGGCACTACAAGCAGAATCTATTACCTGTCTGGAAGCCATCAAACATTTGGCGAAGCAAAATATAACGGAAGCCATCATCGGCACAGATTCACTCAACTTAGTTCAATATATAAACAGCCCAAATAAGTCTCCGATAGAAATAAGAGATATTCTCATGGATATACTCTTTTATAAAACTTTGTATAGGCATTTTAAAATATGTAAAATTAATAGAGAGCGACTGAATCTAGTGCACAAGAAAGCAACAGATTGTAATCGAACCCCTATCCTCCTTCCTTTTTAATAAAAATTTCCTACTGTTGTTTCAAAAAAAAAAAAAAAATAGAGAAGGGAGATTTATAGTTTGTGTAGGATGATAACAAGAGTGCCTCAACAAACACTAATTAGTTGGAATTTACATAGGTTTTATAATGTTGTCGACTGAATGGTTCAGTCAATAATTCAAATATTACAATTATTTTTCATATAGATGAAAATTGTGATCCAATGGTTTGACTTATCGATTGAACCCGTGCATTCAGTCACACTACCATAGGATTCCTCATAAATTTATGTGTTACTACTATTGATTTTATACCAATCAGACAAAATAAAGAATAATTGTTAAAAATTAAAAACAATTAAGGTAACAAGATGCTACATCTAGTATTGTTGTGGGGTTTCTAGAAAGAGAGTAAATTTTTGGGGTGGTCCTTTGCAATTAAGTATAAACAAATTTGGGATAGAACAATTAAGGATCTTCGCGCGTGATAACAAAACTACAAAAAGAGGCGCCAAAAACAATCAAGAGAAAATGTTCTTGGCCTCATTCTCTTCTCCTACAACTGAATTGGGTATAGTTTTGGTCACTCACTTCCTATAAAGGTCTAATATGATGAGTTAATGACCCATCTTATAACTCTTATACTGTACAAAATTACCATCATTCATGTTTATATCAGCTACCTTCGATTTCAATTATGTTGTTAAATATCATTTTCTGCTTATTTCAACAACTCCTCCCCCTCCCTCCCTATGGCTAATGGTAAGAATTATTTGAAGTTGTTGCGCAGTCATGATGCAGAAAAGCAAGATCAAGTCTTGCATACCAATAGCCCGCGTTTGATGGTTTCTTTAAATTTTCTAGGGATACAGGCACAACACTTTCACGAGTGAAATTTTTCTTGACATCTGTTTCATTGTCATGAAAGATAAAACTAATCAGCTAAAAGATATACACTACTAATCAGCTGACAAAGTTACCTCATCAAACAGACAAGAGGCATCAGTTAGCAGGCCGCAAAAATATGCATGAATGGATACACATCATACAAGGAGATTGGAGATATGAGTTCTCACCAAGTTTCCCTCATTAAACAAGACAAAATGGCTATGGTTACAACTTGTGAGATGAACAGGTGGAACATAGTAGATCGGTCAACCGGTGCTGAGAGCGAACTCCTGAGTCCAATTGGGAACCTGCAACTTCCGACTGAAGGATCAACAGTGGTGATCAAACCTAGGCCCCCAAAGGCACAGCTGTCAGCCCTTTGATCATGCTGTTGATAGTAGCTGTTAAAAGCATACGAAACATTTGCAGGCCAAGATAGATTGTAGCAGGAACCACCTAATGAGAGTGCACTACAGTCTGCAGTAGAACAAGCTTGCGAAGCTTGTGCAGTTAGATTGGACATGCCTTTATTATTGTTTACGACACACCATTTGGAAGAAAGGTACTGCACATTCTGCGCATTCACTAGTCTGTTGGATCCATGGCTTAAATCAACCTGGTATTTGGCTTGGCCATCAAAAGTAAAGATGCCCCAGTGCCTCTCAAAATTCCCAGCGACTGTGCTTTTCTGATCCTCATCTAGAAGGCTGAAAATATAAGTCTCCAAAGGTGGAGTTTGAGGCCTCAGTGGAGTTCCAGATCTGTCGAGGTGACCCAATAGGCCTCTTATGAAATCTTGGGCTATGGATGAAGTAGCATTGGCTGCTCCATCTGTAGGCCAACCAATCTGACCAATGATCACATCCAGATGAGGAAAACCAGCACTTGACAGGGCCATCACGAGCGTATCATAGCTCAGATTGAAGCCATTTCTGTAGGATTTACCACTGTCATTACGAGGACGTGCTGTTTGTTTGAAGAGAGCCAAGTCAAGGGATATATTTTTGGTCTGGTGGAAACTCAGGAATGGGGAAATTGTCACAAAGAATGGAGATCTATGCTTGCTTAAAAATGTCAGCACTTCAGACATGGTTTTATTGATATCAGTTCTAAATTGTCCGCCCGAAGGTAGGCCAGATTCCGACAGGAATGCATCATAACTGCAAGGAATGACAATTTTAATCTTTTCGGCCAGCTCAACTTTGATCAGAGCAGTCCGGAGATTTGCAGCAGCACCAACAACAAAAGGATAAAATTGTTTGCCATAACTCTGAAGAAATGAATCGTCCCCAACAGATATGTATCTGTAAAAATGCGACAAAAATGTCCATAAGGGAAATTATGATACAGAGAAAGATTAGAAGATTTCAAGCGCTAAAGAATCACCAACATAGTCTCGGGAAAAGATTACTTTCCTTTCGTGACACTGATGGGAGCTTAAACAAAATTACACATTGGTGATCAGACAAAGTTCTCCAGCCATCCTTACAGATAAAACCTCTGTTTGAACTTTGAAGAATATCTTTACTTGGCAGCACAACTTAGAGCAAATGTGTACACATTGAGTTTTCAGTTTTCGCTTACCAGGTAGAGAAGATTGAATGATTTCTCTTTATTTTTCTTCACAAACTACCGAAACAACTAAGCCAGCTCAAAAATGTTGTACCTAGAAGGTCAAAACTACATCTTTTGAATAACTTAGAATAACTTGCCTCTTTCCGATTTCTGCAACGGATTGCATTCTAACGTATTGCCTCTTCTATCAGCTTCAACAAACGAATTCATTGATAATCACATAGATCTTAATACCTCATATTGTAATATATTCAGGTGGAAAATGACATCAGAAACTAATATCCACAGAGTTAAAGGACACTAAATAAGAAACTCAACTCTAAGGGAAACAAATAGCATGTATCTTGTAATTTGATCCCAATGACCGTGTGACAAATATATCTTTCTCTAAATTTGCTATGATGTGTAGAGAACAGGATTGGCAACTAAAGTACAAGATGCCAAAAAGTGTCAGACATCAAAAACTTCTTTCAAATTCTCCTTCAAGGATAGTGAGTGAAGTTAAGCACAGAACACTCTGCAGTCTGCATCCAAACTGTTGCAACTTTTTCTAAGATCAATTAAAAAACACATCGTTGCTACAAGAATGACACTCTAAGAAAAGTTGAAACAGGATGAATTGCGTTTTTGGTCTCATACACATAACACATTAGCAATTCAAAGTTAGCAAAATTTAATGTTGAAAGGCACTCACTCTATTTGGACGGCACTCGAAGCTCCAGCAGAAACATATCGGGTAAGATTATCATGAACCCAATTCTCAGCAGCCTTAAGCGAGGAGTTCAAGCTGCGGAGCATAGTATTAGGAACACCAACAATAACACCAATGTCGGAACCGCCCAGGGATTCGAGAACATCAGGGTCAGCATCAAAGAGCCGGACTTTAGTCACTTTATTCGCCTTCAACAGCTGAACCACCTGGGCCGGCGGGAGAGGGTGCGACGCCATTCGTCCCCAGTTTACACCAATGGCAAGTGCCCTAGATGGGAAATGCACCCAACTGAAAAGGGCTAATAGCATAAACCATTTAAGGAGGAAATGGAGGTTAGTTGAAGCCATATGACGGTGAGAAGAAGAAGCTCTGTTCTTTTCGTTTTCACTATAGCAGCATTTTGGGTTTTTGAGAAATTGGGCGGGGCGATAAAACCCGGGAACTGTTTGTTGCTGATGCTGGGAGTGAGAAGAGGAGGACTGAAGAAAGAAAGGAGCTTTTTCTCACCTTTATAATTGTTGATTTGTTGTTGTAAGAAAAAAATGCCATCTTTTTGCTTTTCCTAAATTCGTTTACTTTATTTGTTTTTGGTGTTGGTTTTACTATAGCAAAAAAAATTTCTACTTTATCAAAATGGACCATTATCTTTGTCATTAGTAGCTCTATTGCTTGATCTTCGGTCCCCCCGAAATTATAATTTACAGCAGAAGAGCATAAAAATATTAAGAGCCTCAAACTCAATGAAGAAGATCAAAGACTTAAAAGAGCTACTAGATTGGAAAGCAGACCACAAAACCACTGAAACTCTCTTAATAGAAGAACCCACAAAAATCACCTGATTCCGCAGTACTCAAAAATGGCGAAAAAAGAAGGAGAAGTTGTTTGTGTAACTGGTGGCAGCGGCTACATTGGGTCATGGCTGGTCACTCTGCTTCTCCAACGCGGATACTCCGTCCACGCCACCGTCAAAGATCTCAGTTAAGACAAATCCCTTTTCCTTTTGTTAATTTGTTTCTTCATCAAGAAATCATTTTTTTCCATTTGGTTTGAAACTTTAATTAACTTTTTTGGTAAAACTCTGCAGAGGATGAGAAGGAGACGAAGCATCTTGAAGAAATAGAAGGGGCAGAATCTCGGCTCCGTCTATTTCAAATCGATCTTCTCAACTACGACTCTATTGTGGCTGCCGTCACCGGAACCACCGGCGTCTTCCATCTTGCTTCTCCCTGCATTGTTGATGAAGTGAGCGACCCGCAGAGCCAGCTCCTTGACCCGGCTTTAAAAGGGACGATTAACGTCCTCACGGCTGCCAAAGAGTTCGGAGTTCGCCGCGTTGTAATCACTTCATCTGTTTCTGCAATCCACCCAAGCCCCAATTGGCCTTCGGACAAAGTCAAGAATGAGGAATGCTGGACTGATGAAGATTACTGCAGACGAGATGGGGTAAACCCTTATGCTTTTATGTTTAAATTTGAAGTCTGATTTTGCTTTCTGATTGGGGAGCTTAGTTATAATCTGGTACTCCCAAATTTGTCCTAAAATTGAAAATCCAAACTAGACAATCATTTTGGACGGAGTCTTAGATGATGTGAAGTGTCTGCGAGTTTGTTTGATGACCCTGCTAGGCTTATATGATTTTTTGGAAGCTGACTAGGTGTGGTATCCGCTTTCTAAAACACTTGCTGAGAAAGCTGCTTGGGAGTTTGCTAAGGAAAAGGGTTTGGACATTGTTGTGGTGAATCCTGGGACGGTGATGGGCCCTATTATCCCTCCATCTTTGAATGCGAGCATGTTGATGGTTCTTCGTCTTCTCCAGGGTAACTATGATTAAATTTACGCTACTCTGGAAGCTTTCATTTGCGTAACTTGGTGGCTTTTGATATCAGTTTTGTGTGGCTTCTAACGGTGGCTTGTATCTTTTGGATTTGTGAGTCAGGAAAGTAGTATATAATTTGCCAACTTCGAATTCTTACTTTCACTATTGTGTATTCTGTTATCTGATTTGTAGCTAGTACTGAATTTGACTCTTTAGCCTAAAGATGCCTAATTTGTGATTGATGGCATACTCGATTTGCAGTATTCGACATATTTCTTCATTTTGATTAATATGACACTTAACTTGATTGGAATTAGCATCCAGGAATATCCTGACATCTTTAAAATGTTGCAACCCCCAACATACAATTCTTTCGTACATAAAGTTATTGGAAGTTCAGTTGTGAACTCAGACTGCGTTTTTTTCTTTTGCCGTTGTAAATTTAGGGTGCACTGAGACTTATCAGGATTTCTTCATGGGAAGTGTTCATGTTAAAGATGTTGCACTTGCACATATCTTGGTCTATGAGAACCCACTGGCAAACGGACGACATCTATGTGTTGAAGCCATATCTCATTTCAGTGACTTTGCCGCTAAGGTTGCTGAACTTTGCCCTGAATATGACATTCCTCAGTAAGTCCTTTTACGTACTCAAAGATAATGTATTTTAAAGTCTCTGGAAGATTGTCTTGTATGCTGCTTCATGAATCTTATTTCTCTTATGCTGTTGCAAATTTGTAATCATAACTGGCTCCAAATTCATTTCGATCCTTTTAGACTGGCTAATGCAGTATTGGTGTCTTTCTTTCCCTATTTTTGTGTGCTTCTTGTTGGAATTCCAATTTGAGATATTAGAAATAACTTGTTTCAGAATCTTGCTCTTGTAAACCAGATCAGACTGTGTAGGTGAACGGAAAACACAGAATTAAAAACGCCATGCTTTGTAACTGTGATTTCATAGTGCTGCATTATTTGATATGTGTTTCGTGCAGTATATCCTTGAGATGTTTGGATTGAGAAAGAGCACTGCTGTGCTCCAGTTTTGGTAAAACTCTGTAATACAGTAGATGTCGCAATCAAGTTAATTGGATTGATCCTCGTCTTAAGAGGATGCTCAAAGTTGACTTGTCTGCTCACCACTCTCCTTTGGGTCCTTCCACTAATTTGCCTTGATAAACTTATTTTTGTCGGTTGGAACTTAAAGTGTAGTGTTTCTGCAGGTTGCCTAAGGATACTCAACCTGGATTATTAAGGGTCAACGATGCTTCGAAGAAACTGATTGACTTAGGCCTTAACTTCATCCCTATGGAGCAGATCATCAAGGATTCTGTCGAGACTTTGAAGAAAAAAGGATTTCTTTCCTGAATAAAGTTTTCCCAAGGGGAACAGTGTATCTGCATGAATTTGTATGCCTAAATCCTTGCAGATGAAAGACCCTTGAGGGCTTAGCATCTTGCACTCTCTTGTATTAAAACCATCCATTTAACTATCATTCGATGAATTTAGTTGTTGTCTAGTCGCATCCTGGATTTTTCCATCAGTCTTACAGAACTGGGGCCAAAAGGTTGATCACAATGGAATACTGCCTGGAAAGATTTGTTATGAAGGTTAATTGCATCATACTAGAGGCTTAGATAAGTGATGTTTTGCCTATTACTGGTATAAAAATCAGCAACATGTTGGCTTACAAAAAGTATCTTAATGCAGAAAGATCTTAACCAGTTGTCCATGATGCAACATGAACGTGACTATTTCCTTTGGGATGGAGATGATTATGACTTCTTACATCGTGTAGGAATATGAAAAATGGAACAATGATATTTGTATCTCATAGATTACTACTCAGCCAGTTACTATCCAAGTGGCCCGAAGAATTTGCCAACTGATTGCTGTCTGATGAAAAGTGGTCCACTACGGCTTAGACTTAGTGTTTGATATCCAAAATATCAAAAAGCCTCAATGACGATGATCGAAGAAATGAATATGAGGTAAAGAATTAGATAACCATACAAAAACACTGACCACAAATTTCACCAAATTCCTGCAATTTCAAATATGGCAGATACAGAGGGAGAGGTGGTATGTGTAACTGGTGGCAGCGGCTACATTGGGTCATGTCTGATGAGTCTCCTTCTCCAACGTGGCTATTCCGTCCATGCCACCGTCAAAGATCTCAGTTAAGATCATCCCTTTTCGTTTTTCTGATTGCATCTTCTTGATCGAGAAACCATTTTTTTTTCCCTTGGTTGAATATTAACTCTTTGAACTCTCCACTCTACAGAGGATGAGAAAGAAACGAAGCATCTTGAGGAATTACAAGGGGCAGAATCTCGTCTCCGTCTCTTTCAGATTGATCTTCTCAACTATGACTCGATTGCGGCAGCCATCACTGGCACCACCGGCGTTTTCCATCTTGCTTCTCCGAACAGTATTGATGAAGTTGGTGACCCGCAGAAAGAGCTGTTGGACCCGGCCTTAAAGGGCACTATCAATGTGCTCACAGCTGCCAAAGAGCTCGGTGTACGTCGTGTTGTTGTAACTTCATCTTCTGCTGCAATCCACCCAAGCCCCGATTGGCCTTCGGATAAAGTCAAGAATGAGGAATGCTGGACTGATGAAGATTACTGCAGACAAAAAGGGGTAAACTTTGTTATACTGAAGACCAAAAGGAAAAAGAAATGATTATGTTTAAGAAAATGTTTGAATGAGAATCTGTGAATAATTTTATTTGATTCCACTAGTTAAAACATATCAGGAGATGCACTCTGGGAGGAAAAGTGAGAAACGTCATGATTTGAAATCAAAATTCAACCATAAGATCGACGTAGAACCAAATAAAAAAAAAAGACAAAATATGTATAGAAGTTAAAGCTAAAAACCAAACACTGTCCTTTTAATTTAGTTTTCTGTCTAGATCATTGGGAGTGGTTGACAGACATCAAATCTGCACACTTCTGCTGCAATGCCTGAAAGTATATAAGTTTGAATACTGATTCTGCTTTCCAAGCATACAGCCTGAGAAAAATCAGTGCTTCTTGGAATGATGTTGTGTACAATCAGGATTGTTTGGACTATGACGCGGCACTTAAATCATCTAAAGTGTCTTAACTTAATTACTGGAATGGACTCATCTATTTTGGTAGTTGATTAGGTGTGGTATCCACTATCTAAAACACTTGCTGAGAAAGCTGCTTGGGAGTTTGCCAAGGAAAAAGGTTTGGACATTGTTGTGATAAATCCAGGGGCTGTGATGGGCCCTTTCATCCCTCCAAGTCTGAGTGCAAGCATGTTAGTGATTCTTCGACTTCTTCAGGGTAACTATGACTGAACTTACATTTCTCTTTCAACTTCCTGCAAAAGAGTTATCTGCAGTATCAGTTTTGAACTCAGATTGTGATTTTCTCTGAAACTTAGGCAGCTCCGAGACTTATGAGGATTTCTTCATTGGATGTGTCCATATTAAAGATGTTGCACTCGCACATATTTTGGTGTATGAGAACTCATCAGCTAGGGGAAGGCATTTATGTGTTGAAGCCATATCCCATTATAGTGACTTTGCTGCTAAGGTTGCAGAGCTTTGCCCTGAATATAACGTTCCAAGGCAAGTTCTTATATATATACTCATAGTTCTCTTGAAGGCTTTACTTTACGCTGGTTTACCAATCTTTTTACATTTCATGTTGTTGCAATCACAATTCACAAGTGGCTTCAAGTACACTTTAGGCCTCTTAGACTAGCTTGTGCTGCAGTGCTTTTCGTTCTTATCATTTCTTTTTGGAAACTTGTCCTTCGAGTTGTCAGAAATGAAATGTTACAGAGAGTTGCAGTTTCTCTTATAAACTTGATCAGACTATTTAGGTGAACTGCAACACGGTTCAAGTTGCGGCGCTTGCAATTTCATAGTCATCTATCATTTTCTAGGAATGTATCCAAATGGGGAGTTTGAATGAACAAAACCCAAAAATTGTAATCCAAATTTGGTAAAAACTGTGTATACAAGCATGATGGATGTTCTGACCAAGTTACTAGAAAATTGATCGTCGTCTTAAAGGATTCCAAATGCTGGCATTTTCTGAAGACAGCAGTTTCCTTTCACTACTTTTTTTGATAATCAAACATATTTTCCAAGGTTGGAAACTCAAAAAGTGGTTTTCGTTGCAGGTTGCCGAAGGATACTCAACCTGGAGTGCTAAGGGACAAAGATGCTTCAAAGAAGCTGCTTGATTTGGGCCTAAACTTCATCCCTGTGGAGCAAATCATTAAGGAGTCTGTAGAGAGTTTAAAGATGAAAGGCTTTCTTCCTTGAATAAAAGCGTGACAATTTGCGCTTGGTCAACTCCCTGATGGATCAAAGACCTTGTGAAGGCTTTGAATTATTAGGCCGGTCCGAATTCTCTGCATAATGTTTTATTACTAGATCTTGCAAACCTCTGGTCATGCTGAAACAAATGTTCTGCTGCTGTTTAAGTGCTTTCAATGTGGACTGTACCGATTACTACAAAGGGAAGGGAATTTCTGGGTGTAATAAAATCACACCTATTCTTTTTGTGCAAGACATTGAAATCTATAGGGAGATACAATCCGAAACAAGACAAAGACAAATAGGGCAGCAACAATGTTTGCTTTCGGATTAAAATCAAGTACTCCCTCTTTCCCGAAATTATAATACAACTTGAGTTTTCATTTTTTTAGTTCAAATCATAGTTTGCAAACTCGCGATCCTCCGATCCTACGATTCCAGATACCTAAATCGATCCTGGATCGATCAAACTTGAATATTGCAGTAGGATTAGAGTAGGATCGGTCCGAGTTTACTATTCATCAATTACAAAAAATTAATTGAACTTAATAAAATTTTTCTTTTCTCTTATTTCTTTTGGTTCACATTCAGTTGAAGCTAACATTCTTTGAGAGAACTTTCATTGCTAAAAAACTGTATTTTAGAAAGTTTTTCTGATAATATGAAAAGAAGAGTTTTTATTAAAAAATTTATGAAAAAATTCATATAAGAAAGATGGATTTATACATTTCTTTTTGTTTAAATGTTAAATAATTAGAATTTAATTATCAAAGCAATTAATTATATAACATGTTTAATTACTTTTACGATTTTATTATTCCGATTCTACTGATCCCATTTACGATCCGATCCTATGACCTTATTTTGATCCCATGTAGGATCATACGTTGGTTCAAATTGTATCAAAAGTGAAAATGCAAACTGGACAATAATTTTGGATACGACGGAGTAGTTTTCTTTCGCAATGTCTAAATCTGCTAACAAAGATTTAGAAACTGCTCACGCCCATGTCACTTTGATGTTAAAAAATAAAAATAAAATCAGCAGATTGTTGGAAGAGTGTAAAAATTGCAGGAAAAGAGGGAACTTGTCCAAATCCAAACCAAAAGATTCTTTCTTGTGGAATTTGTGAGCCACTCGGTTGTCCAAATTCCACATCCAGTAAGCATACGTAGTGAAGTGGACATTCAAAGATTACGTGGGATTATCGAATTCTTCTTCCACTTGACAGTGTAGTAAATAGTAATGATATGGGTCCAAGCAGTTAGCCATTTATTACAAAAATGCATACTCCCCATTAATTCGGCTTTGTTCATGAATTTGATTTGACGGTGAAAGTTTCTCAAAGATTTTTTTTAAAAGAAAAACTTTTGACAACGTTGTAGCCTTTCTGGTTTCTTCATTTCCTCTCCTTCTCGAGGCGACTTACGTGATCTGCAATTGGTTTCTTGCTTGACTTTTACCGCCCCCTCAAAAAAAAAAAAAAACCATAAATTCTCTGAAAACGAAACCGAAGAAAACCACATGATTTTTGAGGAGGCTAAAACAATCAGAAGAAAACTTTCAACTTCAAGGGGGTCATTTGGCAAAATTTACAGCTTAGCAAATTTGACCCAAGAAAATGATTTAAAAATATGAAAGGTGGAGCCTGGAGGACCGGAATCGAGCCTTGCAAAAAACAAAAAACTCCCTTGTATTTGTAAACCCAGTTCTTCGGATTTGGAGATTGGAATTTGGATCTTCCGAAATTCATCATCTCCATCGTCAATGGAGGCTAAACGAGAAAGAAATTCATCTCATCTTCGGAGGGCTCTGTTCATTCTATCTTTGATCACTTTCACGAGCTTAGTCTCTGCAACTTCTTCTTCATCGGAGAAAGTTACTCTGGAGCTGTACTATGAGACCCTTTGTCCTTACTGTGCCAACCTGATCGTTAATTATCTTTACAAGATATTTGATACCGGAATTATTGATATCACCAATCTCAAGCTCATCCCTTACGGCAACGCCAAAATCAAACCGCCCAATTCCACCATCGTTTGTCAGGTTCTATCATAAGTCACTGCCCCTTTTTGTTTTTCTTCTCACTTTTCTGGTGTGATTTTCCATTCTTAGCTTCCCATTCTCATGAAGATCGAGAATTTGTATTTTTATTACAGAAAGAAACTAGCTTTATGGGTTTGTTCATCTGGGTTCACTTTGTGGGTCCTAGCTAAAGTTGTTAGGAAAAGATCATAGAATCGTTTTTTAAAAAAGTTGTGATCGTAAGAAGGATATCTTATTCCTTTCTCGTTGATTCTTGAACCGTGCTTTGTCCTTTTTACTCTGGAATCCAGATGTAGCTTTTTTGGTTTCTTTAGGTAATAGTAAAAACAAGCCTTCGCTCAGAAAGAAGAATATGTACCTGTAAGCTTTTATATTTTAATTTTTAAGAAATTTAATTGGAAGCTAGTTTGAGAGCAACAAAGATTTGTGAGAATCCTTATGGATTTCAAATTGGTTGATGAGCAATTTAGGAGGTATTACTGTGAATCTTTTAGCCACTGCATTTTATGGTCAACCATATCATCCATCACAAGAGAAAATTTTGCAGCAGAAAAAAAGGAGAGCATCTGGTTCATTAGGAGTTTTAATTTTGTCCTTTGAGTTTCCTGAAATGGAATCTTTACCCAAAAGTGCATGTGTGATATGATAAGAATTTTACATCCAAAGTGGCTAAATTCCTGTCTCTCTTTTGTTGTTATTTTCATACATCAGGTGCCTCCCTCCTTCTAGTAAGTGTTACTAGGATTGATTGAAAGCCTTTATCCTAGTATTGTGCTTGTACAAGATTATTCCTAGTGTTCTTAAATGGTTGATTGATATGAAACCTTCATCTGGTCCCTTGACTACAATACCTTTCAAATGTTTGATGTTACCATTGTAGCACTTCAAATAATTACTGTAACTAGTTTTCTTGGATTATCTACCATCTCACTCTCAATAGAAGATATATAGATTGACGTATGTTATGTGAATGCATTGAATTGAATCTTCTTATTGTGGTTCCAGCATGGCCCTGATGAATGTTTGCTGAACACTATAGAGGCATGTGCAATTGATACCTGGCCTGATGTGGTGAGTAATCTTCCTCTTGATACTTCAACACATGCTTAATCTGAATTTTTTACTGCTGGTGCTATATATTCCCTAAAGAATCCTTTTTGTTGCTATTGTAAAATGGCCTTTTACAGTTTGTACCTTCAAGTATTTCTTGCTTGTTTCTCATTTTGGAGAATTTTCAATCCCATTTGCGCCTAGTAGTCATCATTCTGATCAGTGCACCCTTAACATCTAAGAATAAGGTTGCTGATTTCTGTGTCAGTCCACCAAGGTTTTAATGAGGATACCGATTTTGTTTCATCCATGGTATAGTGTATCTATTTGGCACTAGATAGTGTAAGAATGGAATCGTGGATGACCCTTTTTAATGTATGTTTGGTAATGATGGGAGGAGGAGATCAGATGTCATTTTTCCCATGGGCCTGAAAACATGTTTTGACCGAAAAGTAAAAGAGAATCTAAATAATGTGTTTGGATTAGAATCTGAACAATGATGGGGAAGAACTTTTTTATTTTCGTTCTTCTTTGCTTTTTGTATGCCAAACTGATGGTATTAGATGCAACAACATTTCTGATACCTTTCCACAAACTTTTTCCTCTGCAGAATGAACATTTTCCTTTTGTCTACTGCGTTGAAAGTCTAATCTATGAGGGCAAGAGAACTGAATGGGAAACGTGCTTTGAGAAATTAGGCTTGGATCCAAAGCCTGTTAATGATTGCTATAAAAATGGTCGTGGAAAAGAGGTGATTTATTTTGCTGTTTTTGGTGCTTTCATTCTGGCGGTGAAGTATCTTCTTTGTGAAGTTCATGTAATATTTTTCAACTGTACAGACTGCAAACTTTTAAAAGAAATTTGACCCCTTAATCACAACAAGTGTGTTGCATATGTAGGATGCTATTTTACTGAATGAAAATTGCATTGAATATTACAACTAACTTTTATCCCAGTGCGTGTGGCTTTTGGCTATTAGTATCAGTTCTTTATCTGGACATTTGGCCTCAAATATGTAACTTCAGATACTAAGCAGCTACTTTTGATATTTTAGTGTCTGCATACCGAAGACATTAGAGCCCTTTTTGTTATCTGATATCTGGTCCATGAACTATAATTTTCAGTTTATTCGTTCCTTCTTGCTGTAAATGGTTCACATATTTTGCTGACACATGTCGAACTTGCGCAGCTTGAACTTCGATTTGCAGATGTAACAAATGGCCTGCAACCTCCTCATAAGTATGTGCCATGGGTAGTTGTTAATGGACAACCACTTTATGATGTAAGTTTCTGTTACTTGGGTGTCCATGATCCATATATGGTCTTTAATCTGTTAAGACAGTGAGTTATCTCCTCATGCTGCTTACGATTTCTCTAATAGTTCAAAACTATAAAAGATGTAGCTGGTAGTAAATTGATGGAGAGTAAGTCCAGAGCAATAATTTCTGGAATTCCCATGTAATATGAAGTTCTAAGAGTAATAATAGCGAGCACAAAAAAGGCCCCTAGATATGTATAGGAGAAACCTAATAGTAGTTTTGATCAACGAAACATTCAGAATAAAGTTTCCTCACATAATCTGTGAACTGCAGGAATACAGAGACTTCTTGACCTACATCTGTGACGCATACCAGGGAACTCCAGTTCCGCCTGCTTGCAGTGAATATTCTGCTGCTCACCCAAAGAAGGGACGCATGAACAAGTTGAACCCAGTCTGCTATGCAGGGGCAACGATCAAGTCAATCTTGTCCGTCGTAAAATCAGCTGTTTCATTTTGGATTCCAGGAGTTACCGATGCAGCTCTGTGATAAATCTACAGCCATCCACTACACGCCAAAGTGTTACTGTTTAGCAAAAGTGGAAGATCTTTGAATCAGAAGCTGAAAGAACTGGTTGATTTATACTGTACACTGTAAAGTATGGAGATGTATTAGATGTATGAGCAAACATTCTGCAAATTGAAATACATTAATGTTTGACAAAAATTGATGTTTTCAATTCTCTCGTGTGGTTTGGAAGAAAATGCAGCAGTTTGTTTTTGGAGGCTGCAGATCAGTAGATGTTTGATGTGTTAGATATATGAGAAAACCTTCTGCATATTGAAATACATTAACGTTGTACAAATGGTGGTTGTTCTTAACTCTCTCTTGCTTGATTTGGAAGAAAACGCGGCAGTTTATTTTTTGAGGCTGCTGATCAGTAGAGGTTTGATGGCATCTTTCTGAACATTACTTGAACAAAACCCACTCAATGGTACTCTTCACTTCTATATCAAACCAAAATTGATAGCAGAACTGCAGAAGTACAGGTCTACAGGACATAATAAGTAGACTGTGAAATAATGAATTTCCAAAAAAAACTATTTTATATTAAAAATAGAGACTTAATTAAACAAACCGTCGATATGTCCGAGTGGTTAAGGAGACAGACTCGAAATCTGTTGGGCTTTGCCTGCGCAGGTTCGAATCCTGCTGTCGACGTTTTCTCGTTTTCCTTTTCTGTTTTTGGTATGTTTCTTTTCACAATTCCATTGTCCATCTAAGGAGGGAAAACGATTTATTTTCAACCCTTCTTGGCTCTTCCTAAAACACCAATTATGGGACTAGAGATAATCCCCTTGCGTAAAACGTGCATATGTTAATTTCTTTTTAAGGAGAAAATGTCATTAAGTTTGCACTATAACTGTTTTTTTTTGTTAATGAGACGTCTCTAACATCAAGCATCATGGTAAATTCCACTTACCTTCTCTCTTTTCTTTTCACACAACCAGTACTTGTTCCACGCTTTGCGTTGGTGTGTAAAATGAGAGGGAAACAATCGAACATTCCTTATAACTATCACCTTCTTTTCACACAACCAGTACTTGTTCCACGCGTTGCGTTGGTGTGTAAAATGAGAGGGAAACAATCGAACATTCCTTATAACTATCACCGGTGCTGCAACTGTCAAACCAAATCAATCAATGTAATAGTTAAAATTGACCTATATATGTCGTGAATTAAAATTTTTTATTCAAACAGAAAGGAATCAAAAAACAAAAAGATCAAAGGAGGGTAGTATATCAAGTTTAATACCTCCGATAGCGACGGCGATGACAGAGGGTATGACAGTAGCGGCGGCGGTGGCGACAGAGGAGAGAATTTGAAAGTCATAAGAAAAAAATTTATTTTGGTGAATGATTTTACATTCATCTTATTTATAGAGGAAATTATTTATAGAGGAAGAGAAGCGTATTAGAAAAGATTAAATGAATCGTATTAGAGAAGATTAGAGATTTGGAAGATTTGATTCTGATATATATTTTTCAAATTTAAATATTTTAAATTTTAAAACGTATTAAAGGAGATAATGATCACATTATTTATTTTTTCCGAAATAAATAAGGTAAAATATTAAAATAGTAAAATCGAGATTAGCGAAATTACCAAATTACTTTATTCGTTTAATGAAACTCAAACGTGGGGGCGACATGTGTCCCTAAAAGCTATTGATGGTCTAACGCTGAATTAGCTTCTACGAACCACTCCCCTTTAATATATAACTAGTGTTTATCCCGCACGTTGTACGAGTTGTTCAAAAATAATGTTAATGATATAAATCATAATTGTGTAATTTTGAATATCAATATGTTTTATTATTTTAAATATATTTGGAATAATTTTCAATACTTGAAATCGTCCAATTGTAACTTATTGTCCATCTTTTTTTTTTCTTGATTTACGGTTTCATATCTTTTAAAAGTATTCTCTTAATTTTTTATAATCTCTTTAAATATTTTCACCTATGTTATATCTTTTAAACTTTTCTTATAAAGAAAATTTTTATCATTATTTATTTACATAAACTTCTCGTTATTTTTCATCTTCCTATATACCTTTTGTAATATTTTTTTAGAAGTTTGTTCGTACATTTTTTCCTATAATATAGTGTTCATTTTTTCTTTTCTTGGTTGCATAGTATTCGACTTTTTTTTTTTTTTGATGACTTCTCTTGAACGTTTCATTTCTTGAAAAATTTATTATGATTATTTCATTTTTTACTATTATCTTGGTTCCTATTTTCATATTTTTTTAATTCTCTACATAATTTTTTATCGATAAAATTATTTTTAATATCTTAATATACTTTTCTTCTACCATTTGTCTCCCACAAACATCTTTATTCTTTTTCATTATCTCAATATGCTTTTATTTCCCTATTTATCTCTATGTTTTCTTTTATCGCCACAACTTTAACTTTTTCTATCATTATATTGTATAGAAAAAATAATTATGAACATATTATATTATTATATTAATTTATCAGTAATTACTTATTATATTATTTTATACTATATTATATTATATATAATATAATACATATTAAAATATTGAAAATTTGTCGATTATTATATAATTTATTAATAGTATTGATATTAAACAACAATAATCGGTTATTAGTATTGCCCGTTAAGGGACAAAAAAATATATTATTATTAAAAAAACATTTACAATCAAAGCACCACCAACTGAAATAAAAACTTATACACTAAACAATAAAAAATAAAAATATCTGATTGATGGTTACACTTTAACACATAACTAAAGAAATTAATATTGTCGGTGAATTTGTTTTTCTCTCATGGCCGTCGGAATTTTATTTTTATTTTTTTACATCGGATTTTTCTCTTTTTTTTTGGTTTTTTATTTTAGATGGTTATCTTTAGATTTATTAGTATTATTATTATTTTAATTTTTTTATTTTCTAACATGTGCACAATATAATCATCGGTAATCATTTATTAGTATTGCCTGTTAAGGGGTAAAAAAATATATTTCCTTTAAAAAAATAACAATCAAAACACCACCAACTGAAATAAAAACTAATACACAAACAAATAAAAATTTTAAACAATCCAATTAATGGTTACACTTTTAGCACATAACTATAAAAATCAATTTTGATATGTGAATTGGTTTTTCTCATAATGGCAGTCGATTTTTTTCTTAATTGTGAAATTGGTTTCTTTTTGGTTTTTTTTTTTTATTTTGGTTGGTTATCTTTGGATTTATTAGTTTGAAGCATGTTGGAGAGAAAGCAAAATTTGGCTTGTAGTTAATTAATTAAATTGAGCCCAAGAAATTAAAGAAGGGTTGCCCTATTATTAAAATTTACCGTTAAGAGGTAATTTATAATTTTAATATTAAAAACTTACCATTAAATGGTGGAGTGATATACTTGCGACATGAGGACTTGGGGTATCTAATTTTGCGCTACATGGATTAGCCTATCTAAATTTGCACCATGTGTTGAAAACTCTCCTTTAATATATTGGAGATATAGGACTCCTCACACCATTCTATTTTTTCCTTTCAAAAGTTACGAAATATCTTTTTAAGGTGAAAATGTCATTCTGGTAGACCTTTTGGGATGGGTAAGAACTCAAACCCGAAATTTATGTAAAAGAAAGAGAACCATGCAACAACTGTTAGTAGTCCCAAACCCATGTTTTTAAGTCTCATGCCACAACTAGTGGACGGTGTAGAAGTTCTTGGGAATCTGGTGTTATATTTTTTGGGCTATCTATGACCAGTTTTAGAAAACCCCATTCAGATGAAGCAAAACCCATTTTTATAAAGATCTAAAAAAATTTTATTTTGTGGATTTAGTTAATTGATTAGCTTAAAAATTCGGCGGTAACAAGTTATTTTCTCCTTCCGATAAATCTTCGTAACAAAAGAATGTTCACCTTGGCAAAATATCCCCGGTAATACTAAAGATGTCAATCTAGATCGCCGGTGCTGCAATTTATGATTTTGCTTGCAACCGACAAAAAATTACACCACACACAAGTTATTATGATAGTATCAATCAAGATCAGTTGATTAATCTAATTAGGTGTATCCGTGAACACTCTTTTCACTTTCAATTTTATAATCTTGAAAATGAATTTTTGTCCTAATTTAGTGCCCAGTTGATACATTACTCTTGTACGTTTTATGTATCAACAATTAGGTAAATGAAACGAGACCAAATCAACCTTTTGCTCTAACCCAAAAACATTATTAGGTGGCACTAGTACTGCTTGCGTTTATCAATGTATTCGACACGTTAATTCGCCAAATTAATTAACAGGCAACCTACGACAATAAAATGAGGAATGAGTACAAACTTAGTAAGTCATTTTTATTTTTATTTTTTTTGGTTACAGCCTCACAGGTAAGGGTCGCAATCTCTAACACGACCCAAAATTTTGACACGAACCCGACACGAAATAAGCGGGTTAAGGTTGAGATTTTTTACCCTATTTAATAAACGGGTCGGATTAAGGTTAACCTGTTTAATTTTCAGGTGGGGTTCGGGTTATTCATTTGAGAATTCGAGTGACCTGTCAACCCGTATAATTAAGTAATTAATAAAGAAGTTAGAACTATAATTATTCAGTTACCCCTCCCTTACCCTAAAATCTATTTTCATCTCCTATTTCTCCTTACTTTTTCTGCCGTTCCTCCACAACTCATTAATTAACATTCCCTCTTCACTATCACCACCATATCTATACTTCAATCCTTCAAAATCCTCACTTTTTCCATCCTTTTTATCTTAAATCTTGTGCTTTCATTAATCAAATCAATCTATATTTCTTTATTTCATCATACTCTGGATTATTTTTTTATTTCATCCATCGTTGATATTTGGGAATTTTTATCTCTCCTATTTTTTGAATTTTTTTTGTGTTCTTTACCTCATCCACCCCATTGCAGATTCTAAGAAATGGTCTATGCCTTCTCAGTACGAATACAAGCAAAATGAACCTGAATTTGAGATTATTGTTGAGATTATTGTTTATTATTGCTGCAGATATGTGGATTGTTTTTTTGAAAACAAATTTTACATTCTGTTAATTAATGCCTCGATGGCTTGTGTCAAGTAATTTCCTGATCTCTTGGATCCAAATGTTGGCACTGGTTTTTTATTTTGATGGATTGAGTTTGTGTAAAAAGTTTCTCCTTTTTTCTGTTTAGGATTTGTGCATGTAGTTTTGATTTTTTTCGCCTCTTTTTTGTTTTTTGGGTTAACTGGTTAAACTAGGGAGACCTGATTTATAAAAAGTCAGATTAGGGTTGAACATTTTAACCTATTTAATTAAACATGTCGGGTTTGGATTAGACTAAAAAAATTCAGGTCGGGTCGAACCCGACATGTCAACCCAAACCCGATACGAATTGCCATGCCTACTCAAGGGTGAGGTAATTTGCTTTTTTCAAAATATTATGTGAATTCCGATACACAACACGATATTTCCCCCAAAAAAGAACCATTTTTCAGAGATGGCCGAGAATATTATTTACATTTAACATAAAAGCTTTCCGATTTTTTTGAAGGAATATCATCATCATGAACGAGATTGCTCTATTT